GGCCCCATCACGCCTGCTGCGTCTGTTGTCAGACATCTTGACTCAGCCTCCCCTGCCCTCTGCTTCCAAGGGCCCAGTTACGCCGCACAAGCTCTAACTCGGCAGTCTGCAGTTAACCCCATCTGCAGAAAGACGGCCACATGTGACCTCCAGTGGCTTCTCAGGATTAGGACATCTTCAGAGGGGAGGGTGTCACTCTTCAAGCTGTCACACCCTCCTAGAAGGTGCTGGCCTTTGGAGAGGGCTGCCTTGAGTGCAAGCCTTGGAGGAGGGGCCCAATTGGCTGCCCACAGAGCTGACCCAGAGGCAGAGTTCACCACTTTGGTCCACTCACCACCCTCCAGGGTCAGGCCGGGGCCAGGAATACAATTTTGATAAAAGAGTCGAGCCCCAGGGTTGACTTAGGCAGGAATCCAACTTACTTTGAAGACCCCTCTTGACCTTGACCAGCTTCTCCAGTCTTGTCTCTTCGTATGTCCTTCATCGCCAACTCCCTGCACCCTCACCCATTTCACTGGCAGGGACCACGAGGAACTGCCCTGGAAGATTCCCCACTCTGGGCTCCTGAATGCGTTTGGCCTGCAGCTCCCTTGCCTGAAATATCCCTCCCTGTCCCTGCCCGGTTCCTAATTCCTCCTTCAGAGCTCAGGCAGAGGCCGTCTCCCCTGGAAATCTTCCTCCCTGGCCCCCAGTCAGGCAGGTGCCCTTCGTCTGGGTTCTGGGGAAGCTGTCCCAGCACCGATTGCAATTCTGTCCCGGTGAGCCTGTCTCCCATGAGACTGTGCCCTCCCGCAGGGAAAGGACCTGGCCTTTTATCTCTGCATCCCCAGAGCAAAGCATAATGCCAGGAACAGAGAAGCCAGTCTGAGGTGAGGTGTGCTCAAAGGATAGAAACCAAAACGATGAAAATGCCTGATCATCGATTTACAGCAGAAACTCGAATGCTTAGCATCAGTGTGGTCTCTAGTGCTCGTTTCCTTACGCAAATTCCCTTCTGGTTCCCTCCCTTCTCTATGTGCTTAGATGCTTAGATCTGTGTGTTGGCCAGAGGTGTGGGGAGGGTGAGGGGCTTCACCAGAGTGGGGAACAGAACAGGCAGACGGACTGAAATACACTGCTGAGGGGAGCAGCGGGCGAGATAGGAGAGGTCTGCTGCGCCATGTGGGTAACTCCCTGACTGGGGATCGAACTCGTGCTGCAGTGGCTGCCGAGACTTAACCCCTTGTGCTACCAGGGAGTCCCTGTGTTCTGCTTCTTTGTCGTAACATTATGTCACTAGGATTTACCCGCCTTGCCACTGGTAGCTACTTTGCTCCCTGTCATTGGTGAATAATATACCACCGATGACAAATACACCGCGCATTTGTCCCCTGGGTGGGAACTCCTCTGTTGTGAGCAAAGCTGCTGTGCTCGATGACACGAAGGAGCCGGAGGGGCCCATGCCCTGTCCCCCGCCATGGTGGGAGCTGCCGGGTCACCGTGCGTGCCGGTCTGGGCAAATCATCTCCCTTTGCGGATAACCCGTGCTGGCGGGCGTTTCTCTCACACCCTGCAGAGCTGTCCGAGGTGCTCTGGACCATGGTGATGAGCATCGGCTTCCGCATAAAGGGCTGGGGAGGACTCGTCGGCGTCTTCATCATCTTTGCCTGTTTTGCTGTCCTGACGGTCGCCATCCTGCTCATCATGGAGGGCCTCTCCGCGTTCCTGCACGCCCTGCGCCTGCACTGGTAAGGGCGGCCTCCTGCAGGGGCTCGCGTGAGCTGGGGCAGGTGGACGGGGCAGGCCTGGGGGCAAAGCCTGGTGCTCTGCCGTGTGACGGCAGCCGGTTCCGCACCTTTTGGGAACCTTCATTGTCTGTTGGTGTAAAACTAACTACACACGCACAGCGCGTCCTCAAATAACATTTTTTCCTTCAATGCATTTCACTCTAACCTGGTAAGAAAACCCTCCCCCTTCGACAAAGTGACATTATCCGAGGACGTGGTTTCGTTAAATGTTGCTTTGCTTACAGGTAAAGTTTCTTTCTTTTTAAAAGTTACTGTTTTTTAGGAAACGTTGGTTTACAACACCGTGGATGATTGAGGGGTGTGGGGTCACACCTCTGCAGATGGATGTGACCCCACTACTCTCCCTTAGATGACAGTTCTCTGCACTGCCCCGGGCTGTTGAGTGGGGACTTGCCGAGCACACATGGCTGACCCATAATGACCCGTAATGAAATGCTGTTCCGTTTCCTTCTCTCGAAAATGTTCTCTTGTCATGACCACGGACGCCTGCCCGTGTCGCTGGATGACAGATCTGGGGGAGGCTCCCACAGGGAGCGCTGAGCCAACCTGGCACGTCTGACCCTCGCAGCCGAGTGTGGGCATCAGCCACCAGCAGGGCGGCCCAGCCCTGCACAGAGTGGGAGCAGAAGGGGGCTCCTGCAGGAGGAGGGGCCCTCGGGCACCCTTCACAGCTCACGTGTGTCCCAAGCTACCGGCCATCACTGCCAAATATATTAACTGAAATGTTTGTTAAAATTTCCTTTTTTGTCCCAAATCACATTCAGCGAGAATGGCGAGCGTGTGCCGCAGCCACAGTCCGCGTTCAGCCTCCGCTGACGTTCTCTGCGCCCCCGTGGCCGCAGTTCTGAAAGGGCTTCTCACATTTCAGGCTTGAGGGGGTGACGGTGTCCCTGGCGCGGGTGGCAGAGTCAGTTCCCCCAGGTCATTAAGGACATGGACTCGGTCACATACGCAAACGCAAACGATCACACGCAGCGTCTGTTCTGTGGCCTAGAAAACTGGCATTCAAGCTTCCGGTGGATAACCCCGAAACTTACCATCAGGATGGAGAGGAGACACCCCGTCTGACCTCAGGCTCTCCTCTCACTGCTGCTCAGCAGGCCAAGCTGCGCAGCGAGGGTGTCCTGTGGGGGAGGGCTGGGTGCTATGCTGTGTTTGTGGGGTCACCAGCAGAAACCTGATGGAAGTGGGGTGGGGAAGCAGTCAGCAGGAGGAGAGAGTTTTGGGGGAAAAATCTAGGGATTTTCATAGCAGCTGGCCCTCTTGGCGGCTCCCTGCTGCCCTTCCTGACCTTGTGCTTGAACTGAAGTCAATGAAGCCACAAATGAAGCCGAAGGATCAGCTTCTGCACCCCCCAGCCCCCCAGCCCCCCGCAAACCCGCCAGCCTCCAGCCTCTGTGCTTAACCCCCTTTTGTGTGTGTATTTAACCCCCCTTTTCTTGCCCCCAACGACAGGGTGGAGTTCCAGAACAAGTTCTACACGGGGGCTGGTTACAAGTTTGCTCCATTCTCCTTTAAGCACATCCTGGAGGGGACCGCCGAGGAGTAGCCATGGCCGCAGCGGCCGCCTGGTCCCTGTGCCAAAGACAGAAGTTTGCTCTGGTCTTCAAGTCCCCTGGGCAAGGCGTCAGTGGGATGATTGTTCTTGGCCAACTGCAGGCAGGAAGCGTGTGTTTATAGTAAGCCTTGGGATTTGATGGGACGTACCCGAGCCTTGGGGGAGCCACCGCGCTGGCCAGTGACTTCAATCTGCGGGGATCTTGGTTGTCAAACACAAAATGATTGCGAGATGGGCGGGGGGTTGCTGGACTGATGTTTCCTTGCACTGTTTTAAGTATTATTTTTAAGAAAATAAACTTCTGGCAATTCGTTTTTTTTCTTTATGATGTCGTCATTCAAGATTATTCTGTAAAATTTAGCCTGGATAGCTAGAGGGCAAAGCTAAACAATAGAGTCATACAAACTAATCTCAGAGAAGATTATGGTTATTCTATTTCTTCATTTCCTCCTTCCTCAAACACCTTTTCTTCTGGTCTGGGGCTAAACCTTATAGGATTAGGGACTTTCTCATGAATTTTTACTCCAGATAAGGAAGAGTGAATAATGGGCCGTGGTGGGGGGCCAGGCCCAGTGGGGTGCCCTGAGGTAAGTCCTCTGGAATGAAGTGTGGCAACGTGACATCACCACGACTTTGTTTACTCTCAAGGTGCTTTATGCTGCAGTGACTGGAACAGGCTGTGTAGACTTGAGCGGCTTCTGGAAAAATGGCCCCAAAATTGGGCCTTTGTGAAGCGCCCACCAGTCTGTCTACCCTTGTGTTCTCTGGGTTATTTGGCCCCAAAGTCATTTCTTAAGGCACCTGGATTGACAAACTGCTAAAAGCCAGGTACAGAATATTATTTGTTCCATCATCTATTTTGTCTGAATGACCTTTATCTAGGTTAATTATAATTATAATTTCCATGGCAACTATCCTGGTAGAATTCATATTCTACGTAGGTGTATGGTTTAACAGCTTAGGAAGCACTCTCACATAGAATCTGGGGCTAAATAACATTCCAGAAGAGCTGACCAAGTTCAAAGTCACTTTCTGGACAGGTGTCTTTTTTTGAGCCTTCACCTGATGGAGGAAGCTTCCAGGTCTCCTCCCATATCATTGTCACGCTTTGTCCTGCAGTATAAGACACGGTTAAATGCTCAGCACTCATTTAGTGATTAAAACAGGTGGAGCCTGAGGTGATTGTTGGAGTCAGAAGCTCTCTGCCCTTGAGTTTAAACCCACACTTGGGCAGGTGTGTCCTCGGCCACGAAATGGGGTTGCTCCCCTTGTTGCCAAAGTGGTAAGAGTGATCACCCCTCTGGATTGTGAGAAAGGGGATTCTAAAGCCCCTGGCAAGGATGAGGGCCTCAGTGCCCGGAACCAGGTGAGCTGACTTTATAGGATTAGACACTTTCTCATGAATTTATAGAAATTCTCATGAGCAGACCAAGGTGTGGTGTGAGTGCTGCGTCTGGGCCCACCATAAATCCTAAGTGCCCCAGGCCCCTGCACAGTTTCCAGGCTCTCAGGTGCTACTGCCCTTCTCCGCAACTCTCTAAACTTAGTGTTTCAGTGGGTGCTGGACTGTTGTTCTGTTGTTCTAAAGTGACAGTTATGATAAAATGTTTCAAAGGGCAACACTTCCCTTTACTGGTGCTGGGAACTTACTCTGGCAGAAGTCCCCGACCTTCCTGAGAACAACATCAATTTCCTCCAAGGTTTGGCAACCTCTTTTTGTCCCAAGGAGAGATGGGAATTCCCCTTTAAAAAGGGATCGAGTGAAAGGCTGCTGAGAAGGAGGTGTGACCCAAGTGTCACTCACTTGCCGGGGATGCAAGGTGTTTTCTTAAGGAATCCTGTTCTCAGAACTGAGCTGCAAGCCAAGAAGATCTGACACCAGGCTTCTTGGGAAGGAAAGTTCAGAAGCGCCAGAAAATCCAATCTCTGTGTGAGGCTTGGCTGTGACAAGGAGGAGCAGGAGAGTCGGCACCTGGGGAGCTTTCCAAGAAACAGACAGAGGTAAGACACTCCTGGGGACATGTGGATATGAATTTTTTTTTCCTGCTGGGGGGTGTGAGGGGGGTTGAGGATCTGACCATTCATGCTTGGTCGGAAGCAAATACCGTATGAAAGAGTCACTCTTTTTATTGATATTTCAAAACAAATCACGTCATACAACACAAAATTCAGTTTTAAAAGTGCTCCAGTGGCTCAGTTATTTTGGCTAAAAAATTCAGTGTAGCAAAATGCAGCAGAGTAAAAGGTCCAGCCATCCCTTAGAATTTGTTTGAATGATGCTCAGACTCCATTTGAGCCTTTGAGTGTGCTAGTAAAGTCCCAGTTCAGTTCTTACCAGGTTTTTTGAAGGTCGGTCATGGGTTACTTTCCAATTGTTGTTTTTAAGGAATTGATGGTGAAGGATGTGAAGATTCTTCACCATGTTATTTTCTACTTTTTTTTTTAAGTCTGTCTGATTGTCCATCTGTCTACTCATCCACCATCCATCCATGCACCTGTCCCCTTCTTACAATAGAAGGGTTTAGAAGGGTTTGGGAACAAAAGAACAGATGTGCAACTCAGCTTCTTCCCATCTTACAGTTGGGATTACAAACTATCAGAAATATTCCTTATTTCCATCTCTGAAACATTTTGTCCCTCGCGAAAATTTTCATGAATTTTTTGCCTGAAACTACAAATACTAAGGGAATAGTTTCCATATCTGTTAACTCTGAGTTAGTGTTTGAATGTTCTCTTAGTGACTTGACTTGTGAACCCCTTTACAGATAGAAATGCCAGACCTGATAATCTCCAGCAACACCTCTCAGCCCCCGTGCAACATGCCCACCATGGCGATTCTGTTGTTCAAGACCCTGCATGACCTGTCAGGGCAGGAACGAGAACTTTCTGTTGTAGGGACCCTTGTCCATGTGTTTCTTCCACCCCAAAGCAACTTCTGACAGCAGACTGCCTGTGTGCTTGCTTTGCAGTGGGTACTGTGCCAATTATACAAATATTATTTCACTCAACCTTTTTAACACACTTGAAATTTATAATTTATCGGTTGACAGTCACACTTACTGTTTGGTTGAAATGTCTAGATTGTTTACAGTGGACCACAACCAGTCAGGAGCTACTTTGTTCCATTTCACCTCCCATCACTTCACTTAACTGGCTTTAAAAAAAAAAAAAAATTACAAGTAACAGAGACCAGAAACAACATTGTTTTAAACAAGAGCGAGCTTTGTTTTCTTTCCCGTGTAAGTTGGTGGTAAGCAAGCAAGCCAAGGCCAGGAAAGCGCCATGTCATCAGACTCTGTAGCTTGTGCTGCTGATTTAGCCCAATGTTTCTATCTTTCCACCTTGACTTTTACATCGTGACACAAGATGCCTGCAGAAGAATCAGCCATTGAGTTCTCCATGGCGGAGGGGGGAGGCAGAGAAGGGCTTTCCCAGAAGCTCCCCCCAACAACCTCCACCTGCATTCCCGTGGCCACCGACCTCAGCAAGGTACAAGGCAGGGCTTGTTACTTCGAAGGCATCCAGCTACTTCTCTCACAGGTGGTGGGCTTTATTTTAATTTTCAGATAAGGAAACTGAGAAGAAAAAAGTTTAATCTTAGTCTCACTTTCACTACTGACTTCCTTTTCTCCCACTCTCTCCCCGCTTCCTCTCACCTGCTCGCCTTCCTCTTTATGTTTGCTCCTGAGCAGGTATACAGTGATACCGGAAATGGTTCATTTCTGCAACTTTATCAGTTATTATGGAAGTGAACAATTTTCCTGTTCTGTTACAATTTATATGTGTGAATTACCTGTTAATATAATCTTTCCATTAGCCTATGAGGATCTTATTTTTTTCTTTTAATTTGTGGTTTATAGCTGTTATAAACATTTACTAGATATATGTGTGCTTTTTCTTATTTTTTAATTTTGGAAATTGTGATCAAATACACATGACAAAATCCACTATTGTAGCATTTTTTTAAAATTTTTATTCCATACCTTTTTTTAATTTTTGTTTTCAAGCTAGGTTGAACTCTTCTCAAGTTTTTCTTACACTTTTTTTTTTTAAAAAGAGTGAAGAGCATTTTCCTGCAAACTTTTAACTTTCATATACCAGCTTATTACTGAATTGGAGAAAGGTTAGCACTGAACACAAGCTCATCTGAAACCAGCCGGGACAAGTACTGGAACTGAATTCACTTATTGTCACTTCCTTTTATTTTTTTAAAAATAGGTATCCTAGATCTATTTCTTTTAGATTTCTTTTATTTATTTATGCATACAAGAGCTGGGGTACAGGCCAGAGATGCGGGGGTTGAGAGGATTCACCAGAGACAGAGTGGGGAGCAGAACAGGCGGATCTGCTGAAATACACTGCTGAGGGGAGCAGCAGGTGAGCCAGGAGAGGTCTGCTGCACCATGTGGGTAGCTCCCTGGCCGGGGATCGAACACATGCTACAGTGGCTGGTGACAGCTTGAGAGTGCTGAGGCTTAACCCCTCCACCACCAGATAGTCCTCTATATCTCTTTTTCCAATGGTATCATTTTTTTTTTTTTTGCGGTGACATTGCCTTCCAACACGACAATCTTCAAGTGAGTCATTCAGTGGTCAGCTGTTCCTCATAGCTGCTCTGTGTTGAGGCACCACCATTGCGCTCAGGGCTCGTCCATCCTGGACCACCTCGTGGACTTCTGGACAGTGTCCAGGCTGACCCAGTAGCCATGGCCTGTCACATAGGGCAGGAGAGGGCGCGTGACCTGGGACAGTGACCTGCCAGCAGCCTGAGCACATGTCAACGGCACATGGCTTCCAAAAAATTTTTTATGGTAAAAGAAGTAGACTTTCTAAAAATTCAAACAACCAGGAAACTAGATAAAGAAAGAAAGAAAGAAAAAAGCTGAAATTCTGTCTGCCACCAGTAATTCCATCCTCTTTTTCTCTTGACCAACTCCTACTCATCCTTCACGTCTGCTTAGTTTACACTTGTCTGCGGAAGCCTGTCAGGTGTCAGGAGGCAGAGGTGAGGTTGCCCTTTGATTACCAGAGCAACCTCCGCTTGGTCCTTGTTCATCCCTGAATACTTGTCTTTACCCCCATTAGCTGTAAGTTCTCTGGAGACAGAAACCCTTGTAGATTTTACTGACTCGTATATATTATACTGACTCGTATAAAGAGAAAACGCTATTTCAGACAACCCGAAACCTCTGTGTAGGTATTTGCTTAAATAAAATTTTACAAATTGGGGTCATTATAAACATTACATATATACCTTTTGGAAAATGCTTTTCAACACCAAGCAGTCTGTCACTTAAGAGCCTTTATTCTGGTACAGGAATACAAGTATCCCCCATTTTCTGAAAGTTCACATTCTATCACTTGGCTTTTATGAAATACCTACATTTGCACCTGTGTTCACTAGCCAAAATAAACCCAAAGAGGATTTCTGCTTTCAGGACAAAAGGTGAAAGGTTTTGCATTTTTTTTCTTGCAGCCATTAGAGAGTCAGTATTAGAGCAGCCATTAGAGAGACTGCTGTACCCCAGCAGTCACCCCATCATGCTCTTCCCTAGGAAATGCTTTATACAGCCTATGTATTTGTTATATTATCCCTTCTTTTACTGTATGATAGTGTTATTTTATGTTTTATGTGCTCTTTAGATGATTCATTATGTTGCTCTTGACATCTGTGAGTGGAAAAAAATTTTCCACATAAATTAACAGCAATTGTGTCTTTACTTTATGTCTTTCTGACTTTTTGACTTAGGAAAGGTTTCATAGGAACACTCTCCTTTCGGATAGTGGGGGAACCTATATCTTAATCTTCTGGGCCATTTTTCTACTGGTGCTTATTTAGGTTGTACCCAATTCTTTTGTGGGGGCTTCCCAGGGGGTGCTAGCTCGGGAGACTTGTATCAGAATAACCTGTTCAACGTTTTCAGGTTCCAGCTCTCCTTCACAGTTCATCCCTCTTGAGGTTGAGAATCTGCTAAGAAAGGAGGAATATGAAGTTTGGGGCAGTGATGTTCTTGTAAAAGCTTAATAACAAGTTGGGGGAAAGGTGCCTTGATTTACAGTGTTTGCCTGTTTCTGTGGTGTCAATATTCCCACAATGCTGATTTAAAATGACCAGGGTGATGCTATTGAATGCTAAATTGGCAAGAGATGTGCACAATTAGCTCTAAAATGCTGGAGGGAGCTGGCTCAGCATACTGCGGACACACCGTCAGGTCCCTTGGGGCTAGGTTTGTTTTTTTTTTTAAAAAGAGTTATTTATTTATGCATACAAGAGCTGGGGTGTAGGCCAGAGGTGTGTGTGTGTGTGTGTGTGTGTGTGTGTAGGGAGGTGGTGTGTGTGTGAAAGGACTCCCTGGAGACAGAGTGGGGAGCAGAACAGGCAGGTTGACTGAAATACACTGCTGAGGGGAGCAGCAAACAAGGCAGGAGAGGTCTGCTGTGCCATATGGGTCAGCTTCCTGCCTGGGGATCAAAGTTAAGCTGCAGTGGCCACGAATAGTTTCATAGTGCTGAGACTTAGCCCCTTGTGCCACCAGGGAGGCCCTGGGCTATATTTTTTCATTGTATATTAACTTGTTCCCTTGCACCTATATTCTGAGTTATGCATTTGCTCCATAGGTAGGCACTGTAATTGAATTTTCAAGTATTTATGTAAAATAGAAAATGAGCAGTTGGGGGGCTTGCATTTTTATTTTACATAAATGTTATGATGTAATTGTTGTTCTCTTCTTTTTTGCTATTCTCTCAATTATTTTGGTAATTATGGACAGCACACTTAAAGCGCAGAGAGATATGGGGCCTACATAGCTCTCCATCTTTCCTCATTCATTTCTACCTCTCGCCTTTGTCTTGTTTGATTTTACAGTCTCATTGCCAAGAGTATTGCTATTTTCATTCAGTTCTAAAGCCACAATCAAGTCTGTGTGTTTTATTCAAATACTGACCCTAAAGCTACAAATGAATAAACAGCTTTTTATTATGATCATGTAAGCATTGCTCATTTTATGGCTCAAGGTAGTAGGTAAGGGTTACATTTGTTTCTCTGGAGGTCCAATGTCATGGGCCAACCGAATGTCACGGCCAAAAGGAATTCTGTTTTCTTTATCTCACCAGTTGCCAAAAAACATGCCATGTTTAAGTTTTCTCCATACAATGGAAATGAAGTAATAAAAGATTTCTTCTCGAGAAAAACGTGAAATCATAAAAGTGACTCTCCCTGTGAAGGATCAGCCATAATTCAAGAGAAACTCTGAAGCTATTATCTTGTGCCTAGTACTGCCAGCCAGGTCTGTGATCAACCACTTCTCTTAGATGATAAGAGAAAGGAGGTTGGTTGGGATATTTATGACACACAGAGCTACCCAATCCCGTTACAGTGCAAATAGTTAATGTCAAATTAAGACTCATCTGGCCCAATTGTAAGTGGCAGATTTCCTACTTTTTTTCATTGCCGTTCAACACAGAAAGACGTACTGGAGATTGTTTTATTACCCTTCTAAAACATAAGCCTTTATGATTGTTAAAATTAGAAAACATGATTGAATTGTTACGAGAAGTCATAGACTTCACTAGGGAAAGAGATTATATGTTGATTGAAGATTGAACTCATTGTTAAGCCTTTTAGTTGTAACTGAACTTAAGATGAACTTACTGGGTTTTTTTAAAAAATTTTTTCTCATCAAACTAAGTGGTTTTGTTCTCTACAAATGCTCAGAATCATTTTAATCATTTATGCTGTGAAGACTTGCATTTGTTTTTTTTTTAAAGGGGCTACAATTTACAAACAATAAAAACCATTTAATGTATTATTATTTTTAATTAAAAAATTATTGTGGTAATGTTGGTTTACAACATTGTTTGATTTTGGAAGTATAGGCTCTCCCTTCGGGTGTTGTTACCATAGTGCTCTCACCGCCAAAGCACCAACAGTCCACCCCTTTGTCTGTCATAGTCATTCCCCACTCTTAGATAAGAGAAAGGAGGTTCTTCTTGCCTCTCCCCTACCCCTCTGGATGCCTCAGCTGCACTGTCAGTTTTCAAATTTTGGGTTTATTCTTTTTTTTTTTTTAAGATTTATTTATTTATTTATATAAGCACTGGGTACAGTCACAAGCACGGGAGGGTGAGAGAATTCACCAGAGCCAGAGTGGGGAACAGAACAGGCAGACCGAGGAAATACACTGGTGAAGGGAGCAGCGGACGCAGCAGGAGAGGTCTGCGCACCATTTGGGATCCTCGCCCACAGCTGGGGATCGAACCGGTGCTGCAGAGGCTGTGGGCAGCTTCGCAGCCCAGTGCTTAACTGCTGCACCACCAGGGGAGGCCCCTCAAATTTTGGGTTTAAAAGCCACCGTTTTAAAGTGTATAATTTGGAGATTTTTAGTCATAAGTTTGTACAACTTACTCTTACTGAATGGTATTTTCATATCTTGATTAATTTAAAGTTTTGTTAATTTTCATTTTACTGTCTATAACATAATCAGTCTTTTTTAATGTATACTTATTTTTTTTTAGAATCAAAAGAAGATGATTTTTCTGCTACTTTATTTCAAAGTTATCAGATAAAGGACAGCCCTTGAAAGGGAGTTTGGACAAATTCTCAAAAGGAGGCAGTAGAAGTTCTACAACTGCTTGTCTTTATGACTTTCTGGGTCTCAGATGGGCTGAGAGACCAATTATTTGAACTTTTTCCTCTCTGTGAAAATAACAACTTTTTGTACTCTTCCTGGACTCCCTTGGGAAAGAGGATTTTATGGACTTATTTCTGAGTGTTATTGATCTATCTCCCATCTGGGAATATTTGTGTCTCCGTGTCAGTGTTTTAAGAAAACAAATAATAGCTACATTACAGGATAGTTGTTTTTATGTGTATCTTTGGTGTCCCCAACTAGATTAAAAACTCCTCAGGCAGGGAACATGTCAGTCAGACTGTCCTTTGAAGTCTCCACAGGAGCCCACACAACACTAGATACAGTTAGCAAGGCTAGTGACCTTGATGAGCTGCTGGGCACTGCTCCGTGACCCTCTGTCCGGGGAAAAGGCACTCCCTGTTGGAGTTCTGACTCTTCTGCTACTCGTGATCTGATAGCACGTGTGTTGTCTAAGAATCCCAGAAGCTCATGTTCTGAACAATTTGTTTTTGAAAAATGTTACACATCTTCAAAAGCAGAGGCTAGTAAAAGAATCCTAATGGACTTGCCATTCTCCTCAATAATTTTCCACATTTGCCCATTCTTTTTTCATCTACACAACTATGTCCTTATGCACCCCACCCCCATCCCATCATTGAATTATTTTAAAACAGAACCCAAATATCATATAATTTTATCTGCAAATATTTCAGCATGTGTCTCTAAAATATTAGGGTTTTTCTATCATGTCCATAATATCATTTTCACATCTGATGATTCATCAGTCATTCCTTCATATCATCAAACTTCCATACTTGCTTGCATGTCCCTGATTTTCTCTTTTTCATTTCATTCTTTGTTGTTATATTTGAACCCAAATGAGATCAACTCACTTCTTTGATTGATTTTTTTTTCTTTTAGTCTATAGATCCTCCTTTTTCTTGACACTTATTTGTTGAATTTCAGTCATTTTCTCAAAGGACTGCCCACATTCTGGATTTTTGTTACTACATCCACATTGGTATGATTGAATCTATTTCTTCATTCAATATAAAATCTGGTAGAGCTAGAGGCTTGATTAGTTTCAGGTTCAATTTCTTTTAATGATACTACCTCAGACGTGATGTTGTAGACTTTTTTTCTATTGCATCTTATCAGGAACTATATAATATTTGCTTGACTTCTTTCAGCGGCACTGAGATTGTTCAGTGAGTTCAGGGGTTACCCATCTCACCATCTCTTAGTGAAGTTCTCTATCAGCCTTTCACCCAATAGCCTATCAGTCATTGACAATCATTTATTTATTTATTGCCCATATCCGTTATTTTGTTTAGAGTTGCAAAATTGTGAAAATTCAATCCCATCCTTCATTCTACATACATGAGCTAAAATGACGGAATAATTTTCTTTCACCAGCTGTTTGGCTACCCTAAAGAAGAGGCAATTTGTACAAGAGAGACAAGATATTTGTTAGTTTGCAGAATTATGAATTGGTTTCTTAGTATTCCCTAAATGTGAGTGTTTTGAGATTTTCATTTGAGTGTTACTCTCATCAATGGATTTTGATATTTTTGATGTTGTGTTTGCTCCAACAGCACATATTCTAAAAATGATATCTTTGATGTGTTTCAATTCTTTGTAGTCATTCTTCTTCTTAAAGCTCAAATTGTTCCTTCTTTGACATAGAGGAGTCTTTTCAAGTTGAATTACTATAGTCCTTTGTCACAACCCCAGCAATTTTTGATGTTTTCCTTGCTAACTGGTACAACAAGATGCTCCAGGCTCTGTCTATATATTTTCTGTCCCAAATCCAGGATTAGCCATTTACCTAAGGTGTCAGGGTTTCTTTTAGTGGAAAACAAGAAAGAAAACAATCTGGGCTCTTGGCAAACTCGTTGGTTATTTTTCTAGGCTCTTTCAGGACCTAGTGTTAGATAACATAAATTACATAGAAAATTCATATTGATATTTCTAATTCAAAGTTAGGATTGTAAAGTTTTTATGTAACTTCTTTGATTTTTGTATTTTTTCTCTTACACGGAAGATCTTGCTTTCTAAAATAACAATTGCTTACTTGATTTATCTATGGCATCTACTAGTATCCAAATAACCAACAAGTATTATTACTAACCACATAATTACCTAGAACAGATTAGAATTTCTGCTTCTCCCACCAGAGGGCATGGAGTTAAGTTACTGTCTTGAAGCGATTTGAAAAAAAAAAATTTTTTTAAGTATCACTAAATACTCAGCTTTATTTTTCTTTTGATTCTTAGAATTAAGAATCCTTTTATGGGTTAAATGCAAAAAAAAGAAGAGACAAAAAGAAGTGCTCAACTAACAATGGCAGGGTGGGGAGGCACCCATAACATGCTGGACACTGTGACTACTTCTCTCTGCAAAGCCTCTTTCACTCCTGAAACAAGACACTATTGGTCAAATTATCAATATTTCACCTGATCGTGACTCACGGTTGATCACTAGCTGCTGGGGCCCAATGATCTCACTTGGCCATTCCCCCTCATCATGTCTCAGATTCCTCTCGAGCAAAACGGTGATAAATTATCATACTGACTATATAGATTTTCCATAAAGATAAAAGATAAAAGGAGACGATGCATTCAATTACACATCCCTCCTTCTCCCCTCCCTGCGTCTATCAGGGAAGCTGTGTGAGGAATTTGCATCGTTGGGAAGATGGCGGCCAAGCAGGGCGAGCCAGTCACCATCATCAGCCTTCGGAAGCTGAGCTTGGCGACCCCAGAGCCACAGCCCAAAGGTGAGATGGTCATAGAAGTCTCCGATTCTCAATCTACTGCTCTGTTTACTAGTGTTTGGAATATGAATTGGTTTCCCGACATTCATTGGGGGAAGAGTAAGCCACACACATCCCCATCCCACATAGGCTGTTCAGTTCACTTTGCCTTTCCTTGATAGAAACGAAGACGTTCACGGTGGAAGATGCGGTGGAGACCATTGGCTTTGGACGCTTCCACATCGCGCTGTTTCTGATCATGGGCAGCACTGGGGTAAGCGCCCCCTGATCTTCACTGGGGCCCCCAAAGCTCACTGGCTATCGACTAGAGGCTCCCAGCGACCTTAATACAAGGACTGTCGATTCTGGAAGAATGTGAAAGGAACAGGTGCCCCTGTGGTGTCGACAGTCCAAAAGTCATGTGCATTTACCTTTGGCAGGCGCTCCTTATGAATGAATGCATGTCTGTGTCTTTATGTTCTGAGATTTCAATGCCCCTTTTAAAAATGCTGTGGATTGAGATAGTGGGAAGAGAGGAGAAAGCTAGGATATGATTCTAAGTAAAATCAGAAACGTGGTTCTCAAACATTTTGTGAGTCAGAACCACCCAGGACACCTGTTGTAATTACAGATTTCCAGACCCGGTAAGTGGTGCTGATGAAGGCTTGTTATGTATCATCTGCTATTTTGAGGAAAAGAGAGTGACAGCTCAGCCCCAGGACTTTCACAAAACGTGGGGATGTGCTACAACACTACAGCTTCTTCCTCTTTTGTGGGTCCATGAGAATATGTAAAAACCCCATGTTGAGATGTCTAATGAGCGTGACAATGGGACTGGAAAGTTGAAGACAAGCGGTCGCGCAAGAGTGGTTTTAGGTGGGAGGGCAAAGATAGTGAAGAGAAAGACATCTCTCCAGAGCCCCGGCACTCACTGTTCAGCTAAATGGTGTCAGCTGAAGGGTCATATGAGCTGGAGTTCTGATGATGTCTCTCCAAAGCCTTGCTCTCCCAGGGGGTCAGAAAGAAAGGCAAGAGGTTTACTGGGTAGACATTCTTTCCTGATGGTGAACTCGTGTTGCTTGTGCTTGCTGCTATGCGCTAGTTTTCACAATTCTTGCTTCCCCAAGGTTTGTGATCAGGAAATATTTAAAAAGTTATTTGCAAGGGTAACCCCTGAGATCTTCTTGATGACAAGTATAAAACAACAAAGCGAGGTGGTTGAGGAGGCTGGACCAGCTAAGTGACTGGTACGACTCTGGGAGTGATACAAGGCATCACACCTGAGTATGGGTCATGAATCTGGGACCATCTCAAGTTGTCCAAATGTCACATGGGTGTGACATTTCATGTCAATGTCACACCCATGAAAGTTCACATTCTCTAGCTGCCTTTACTCCAGCAGCAGTGCAGAAGGTACCCACCTGGTGCTCTCTAAAGGAGGGAGGCGAAGCAGGAGGTTAGGGCCTGCAGGAGGACAAACAGAGATGGGAAGAGTGATGATAAGTTGGCATTTAGCCATGTTGTTTCCCTTTCTGCCTTAAGGTTGCAGAGGCCATGGAGATCATGTTAATAGCGGTTGTGTCTCCCGTGATCCGCTGCGAATGGCAGCTGGAGAACTGGCAGGTGGCATTCGTGACCACGGTGAGTGTCTGCTTCCTGTGCTGACGAGCCGACTGAGGACCCAGGGCCGCCCCTCCCCGCCCCCCATCCCCTAGGACTGAGAACCCAAGGAGGCCTCACCCTTTGGTGTCTTGGCTTCCAAGACAGGAGGTCTTTCTCCCCTTTTCTTTCCCTCTACAGCGTATAACCTTCAATCATTTATTTTCTGGCTCCTGGCAAAACCTGGAAGAGAAAAAGGCAAATCTGTGAACCTAACTCTTAAGCCATCAGTTAGTTATGGTTATTAGTTCATATCCTGAAAAGGCTGCTTAGTCGGACCACTGCAATTGAACCAATCACCAAATCACCCTCAATGAATTGCACTGTGTGACGCAGACAGCTTTCCCCCAGACCGTTATAAATAGCCCGTGACCTACACACCAGGCTTTGCACAGCGTGCAATAAGGTATTATCCATTATTCTTTCGACAGGCATTTTTTAAGTATCAATGAACTGCCAGTAGACAGCACATGTGTGTGTGTGCGCGCGTGCTCGTGCCCACATGCCCAGGCCTGTGTATTGTGGAAAGTACAACAGTTCGTGTTGCTGGAGCAAGAAGTGAGGACAAGGGAGCAAGGGGAAGCAAGGTTGCAGAGACAGGTGGGGGCCGAAGCACCCCGAGTCTGTGCCCGGACACCCTCTGTGGGCCACCGCCGCCCAGCGCGGGCCCAGGCGCTCAAGTCCTCCGCACAAAGCACTAGTTGACCCACGTAGGCAGGAGAGTTTTTCAAATAGCCATTTTGTATAACAAAAGCCAATTTTATGTAAATGCATGGTGACGTCATCGTCTGTGTCTTTCTCATTAAGTGATAGTGAGGTACACCTGCGCACGCAGAGCTCTGCTAAACCTTTTTTAATCCTAAAGTAGGCTCGTCATGCATAAAAATGTTGGCAGCCACACTGCGGAGGAGGGGAGTCGTCAAAGGGCTCTGGGGAGGGATGTAGCCAGTTTCCAAGACCCTCAGGAGATACGGGTGGAGGGTGGAGGAAGTAGGAGGGGGTGAGGCGGCAGTGTGGGTGGTGAGAGGGCAGCACCAGTGACGGAGCATCCTGAGGTGACCCCTCAACCGAGGAGGTCAAGGAAAACCCAGTGAGGAGTGGAGAATCAATTTACTTGTTTTTTTTTTTTTTTAAAAGATTTATTTATTTATGCATACAAGAGCTAGGGCACAGGCCAGAGGTGCGGGATGGATGAGAGGATTCACCAGAGACAGAGCGGGGAGCAGAACAGGCAGACTGAAACACACTGCTGAGGGTTGCAGCGGGAGAGACAGGAGAGGTCTGCTGCGCCATGAGCTCCCTGACCGGGGATTGAACTTGGGCTACAGAGGCCGTGGATAGCTTCACAGGGCTGTGCTCAACCCCTTGCGCACCAGGGAAGCCCATTACTCGGATATTGAAGTCGGTTTTCAGGAAGACGCGACCAATAGAGCCCGGGAGACACGGAGCCAGGTGCCAAGTCCTCACTGAAAGGGGGGGTGTGTGGGAGGTGGTAACCGTGCTGGGTGGCAGAGATAGAGTCAGGTGGCGGAGACCACAAAGGAGGGTAAGATTCTGTTAAAGCCTGAGAGTTAGGGTCTGAAACTGGCAGTGGAGATGCCAGAAGCTTTCCTTGGCCTTAGTCTCTTGGGGTTCTCACAGACAGCAGCCCTCGCTCATACCTTCACCCAATTTACCTGGGAATTCTCATCTGTGTTGGGTCCCAGGAAAAATGTCCCCTCCCCGGCGGCGCTGACCTCAGATCTCTTCTCAGGTGATGCGAGCAGCCCAGTTGTGTTTCCTGCTGTGTCAGGGAGGCCAGGAAATCTGGCATCCAGTTTTATACCCAAACAGGCAGGAAATCTGCAAATCTGCTTTTATGCACAGCCCAAAAGACGGTGTAGATAATTCAGCTCCCCCAAGATAAAGCTGTTTCCTGCTCTGAGACCCTCATCTCCCCCGTCTGTGCGTCGCTATCACCTGTGTCCCTGCTGTGAGTCCCTGAGGCCCTGGCCACTGTCCCTGGCCTCACTGCCCACAGCCTGCCACCAGGAGGGGCCCGGGCAGAGTCAGCGAGAGGCAGAGCTCACATCTTCCAGGCTTCTCATTCCCCGACTGCAACTCTGACTTCGGGGTAACTGGCCTGAACAGTTGTTGATGGAGCCACTTCAAAGCCTGAGGGTGATTTGTGACCCTCACAGCTTGTGAGCAGGAGAGTGAGTGCTGAGGAAACAAGACTGCCGGTGCATAAATCGGAAACAAAAGTGTCATTTACACAAAACATAAATAGCAGCAGAAAAGAGCAGACCTCCCAAGGGGAGGGAGGGAGAGGGCCAGGGAGTGAATGAGTTTTCTGTCTCTGAGATCCCCCATGCAGGATTATAGGTCGCGATTATAGGTCCCCCCGCAGGATGATAGCCTGTGGGGTTCACATGGACTTGGAGTCAGGGTTTCGGAGCTTAATGGTCAGCAGGGGAACTTAGGGAAGGCAGTTCATGACACTGACTGCAAAGAAAACAAGAAAGAAAAAACTCTGCCACTTCTGGGAGTGTAAAATTGAAAGTTAATCTTATTTCACTATTTCCTTCGTCTTTATTAATCAGCTAATTTAGTGTAATCCAGTTGTGATTTAGTCTATTAACCTAAGAGAACATCTTAATAAATATGGGAGGGGTGAGAAAAGATTTTCCCTTTTGGCTTCTTTGGCTGACCTGACTGTTGCATTGGCATAGGACAGATGACCAGGAAAGACGCAAATTTGATTTTGTTTCCATGAGGGTTCCAAAGACATGAGAGCTCAGGGCAATTGGGAAATTGATTCTTTTGTTTGTTTGTTTTGTTTACTGATTTACTTATAATTTTTACATAATTGTTCATTTTTGTACAGTGTTTGATTTCTCCTCTCAGGTGTTGTCCCCATAAAATACAGGTGTCTTGGGGAATTGATTCTTATACACCATCCAGGCTAAGTATTGTGTGTGTGTGTGTGTGTCGGGGTGGGGGGTGCCCCGTCTCCCCAGGGAGAAGAACTCACAGGGAGATAATCACAGATAGGCTGTTAGATAAGAAGGCTGAATTCTCTCAGGTAGTTGATTGAGGGCGAGGTAAAATTTTTCTGGAATCTGCTGCATCTCCAGGACCTTCAGTACCAACCAATCCAGATTCCAGGGTGGAACATTTTGGGGTGATCTGCTCTGTTCCCCTTCAAAACAAAAATATTTCAAGTCCAAAGAACTAGTTTCTACCTGCCCTGGGCAGATGGGTAGTTCCTGTTTTTCCAGACTGATTAGAAAGGAAAAATATTAGCTGACCTTTCCTTTCTAGAAGGAGCTTGATCATTTCTGATTCCATCCTAGAAACTGCTTCATTTCAGGAGCACTCAAATTTTGAGATTACCAACTGATATAATTTTTAAAAAATTGAGAGGCTGACAGGATTGACATTAGAGTATGTGTATGTAGTTGACTTATAAGCCCATTGGAAAAAAAGAGGATGAAAACCTCATCAATTAGTTTCATCTTTTAAAAAAGAAGGGTGTGTTCATAACAGTAATCAGAAGGGAAATTATTCCGGAATAAAGAGAGCTCTTCATATTTAATAAATTTAGATTAAGGCAAAAAATATTCTGTGGTCTTTTTTTGGGGGGGGTCTTTATTTATTTTTTTAAGAACTCTTTTTTTTTTAAGATTTATTTATTTATTCATACAAGCACTGGGTACAGTCAGAAGCGTGGGAGGGTGAGAGAATTCACCAGAGCCAGAGCGAAGAGCAGAACAGGCAGAAGGACCGAAGTACACTGCTGAGGGGAGCAGCGGGTGGCAGGAGAGGTCTGCGCGCCATGTGGGACACTTGCCCGGTGGCCAGGGATAGAACTGGTGCTACAGAGGCTGCGGGCAGCTTCGCAACCCAGTGCTCAACCGCTGCTCCACCAGGGAGGCCCGGGTCTTTATTTTTTTACTGTTTTGCTCAAGACAGGTGAGAAATCACCATAATGGAGCCTCAGCTATGCCAGGCTGGCTTTGAGGAAGTGCTGGCTTCTCCCCTCCCCCTCCAGTTCTGTCCTAGAAAGTACAGTGTGCACAGAGGGAAATTCATCATTCAAGAATAGATACGATGCTTTTATTTTTTCTCTAGTCCCCTGCAGAAGAAATGCATTGGAATCTTCCTTATGAGAAGGGAGAAAGAGACTGTAAAGCAGGCAGCTGAGACAAACAGTTTTTCCACTGGCAATTACATCAGGAGTGCAAGCTGACACTTTTCCTTTGATGACCCTGGAAGCAATCAGATAGGGAGATCTTTCTAGAAAGGAAAGCAAATGAAACTTAGAACTACTTGAAGGCAGAAAAATAAGTAGTCTGAGGCAAGGACATCAGATTACAACTCAGGCTGCAGTTAAAATGCTGGTGTCTTTCCAAATTCTTGAATTTTATCTAGGTCAGACAAGCCAGTGCGAGAATAAGCAACGAAGAGGCTTGGTTTTGAACAGTGTTTCTGAATGAATGATTGGTTTTGGTGTTTGTTTAAAGTTTATGTTCCTCTGGAGTAATCTGAAGGAAGGCTGCTTCTAGAAGTTTCCATCTGTGTGTGCAATAATGCAGAACATGAATGAACAGGGACTTTTTTTTTAAATTAAAACAGAAATTCACAATTATGTCTATGAGTAAGTGGGGACAATGATCTCATCTCAGATCAGAGGGGAAGCAGGTACCTGCTCTTGGACCTGTTTCCACGTGGGGCAGGTATGGGGTCAACCAGTTGCAAAACCCTCTTCTTCACCTTCACCCCAGTCCATTTCCAGTGCACTTTAACTTGAATTGGAGGAACACTTAATGCAGTAAATTAGCAGATTATCAGTCTTCTATTATCTTCCCTCATCCCACCTCCAGATGGTGTTTTTTGGCTACATGGTGTTCAGCATCCTCTTCGGTGTCCTGGCTGACAGATATGGCCGCTGGAAGGTAGGTTGGCCTCAAAGGATAATTTGGAATTTTCTTTCATGGTGATGTCAGCACCGTGTCTCTATAACGGACATTCCCTGTGTAGATCCAGACTAGAGAGTGCAGAAGTAGCCTCCTGGGCTAGCACATGCCTGGGTGGCAGGCTTGTCCTCTTGCTTTCTTGTCTTTTCCAAGGTACCTGTTCTCAGGACTGTTCCCAGTGGCCCAGGTATGGAGTTGATGGCCACGCATAGTTAAAACATACTAGAACGTGGGAATTTGCAGGTATAGATATAAACAGCTTCACGTTAGCTCACTTTGGGGTATCTTTGGAATGAAGCCACTTGCTCAAGGTCACACATCAATCACACATCTACTGAGGGTAAACATCAAGTCATGAATTTGTGTCTTCTGACTATTAACCCATGTCTCTCTTCTTTTCTTTTTTTAAGATTGATTTATTTATGCATACAAGAGCTGGGTTACAGGCCAGAGGTGTGGGCAGTGAGAGGATTCACCAAGACAAAGTGGGGAACAGAACAGTCAGATTGACTGAAATACTGCTGAGGGGAATAGTGGGCGAGACAGGAGAGGTCTGCTGTGCCAAGTGGGTAGCTCCCTGGCCAGGGATTGAACTCATACTGCAGTGGCTGCAGATAGCTTCATAGGTTGTGTCTTAACCCCTTGCGCCATCAGGGAGGCCCCTCTCTTCTTTTCTTTCTTGTCTCCTTTCCAAGCATAAACATGGAGGGAACCCCAAAAGAAAACATTAATAGAATTGGCTATATATTTTAGGGGTATTCCCTCTTTTTGGATTTTTTAGAAATAATTTGAGCAAGATGGGCGTAAGTTCTCAAAGGTTTGACAAAATTTGCTTGTAAAACATCTGGTCTGGGTGTTTATATTTGGGGAGATTTTTGATTGTTTCAATTTCCATGGTAGTGATTGGTTTATTCAGCTTTTCTGTTTCTTCCTGAGTTAGTCTTAGTAAACTATATTGTTCTAGAAATTTGTCCATTTCTTCAAATTTATCGAATTTATTGGTGTATAGTTGTTTATAATACTCTCTGATAATCCTTGTATTTCTGGGCTATCTGTGGTAATTTTTCCTCTTTCATTTCTAATTCTCTTAATGTCTTCTTCCTTCTTTTCTTTGATAGCTGAGCTATAGTTCATCAATTTTGTTGATCTTCTCAAAGAACCAGCTCTTAGTTTCATTGCTTTTTTGTATGGTCTTTTTCATTTCTAGTTAATTTACTTCTGTTCTTATTGTTTCTCTCCTAATTTTGGGTCTGTTTGTTTCTGTTTTCCAAGGTGCTTTAGGTGTGATATTGTTTATTTGGCTTTTTCTCACTTCTTCTTGCAATTATCTTCCCTCTTAAGACAGCTTTTGCTTAGTTCTGAATAGTTTGTATTTTCTTTTTCATTAGTTTCAAGGTATTGTTTATTTTTGCCTTAATTTCTTTCTTTAATCCAGCATTAATTAAGGGACATGTTGTTCAGTCTCCATGTATTTAGTTTGTTTCAACTTTTGAAAAAGCTTTCTAGCTTTATGACATTATAGTCAGAAAGAGCACTTGGTAAAATTTTATTCTTTGTAATTTTATCGACAATTGAGAATTGGCTGTATGTTATATCATAGCCTTATTAGTAAATAGGAAAAGACAGGCATCTAAACAAAATGTAGGCTACCAAATGGCACTTTATAAAAGAAATATAAATGGTCAAGAAACCCTGAAAAATTTCAATGACAAGAGTTGTCAAATGCAAAATCACATACCAAGGTATGTGATACCTTATCAAATCCATAATTTTTTTTTTAAGAACCCTATAGGTATATAGACTTCTTCACATACTGTTGGTATAATTTTTCTGATTGTCCACAGGGCAATATGAATCAAGAAACTTGAGGATATCCATCCCCCTAATCACATGATCCGCTTCCAGAAATCTAGCCTATTTGGATCACTAGAGAACCACAGAGATTTATGCTCAGACATGCTCACAGGTTATTTTAATAGTCAGAAATTGTGAAGCCAGCATTCAGCAGTAGAGGAAAGGCTTATACATTATATCACATGTATTATACATCTTTCCCATGGAACATTTTACGATGTTTTGCCAAGGAACAGACAAAACTAAACCAAAACAAATCTTAGAAATCTCACTGTAGGGGACTTCCTTGGTGGTGCAAAGGGTTAAGTCTCAGCACTATGAAGTTATCACCAGCCACTGCAGCCTGAGTTCGATCTCCAGGCAAGGAGCTGACCCACATGGCACAGCAGACCTCTCCTGCCCTGCCCGCTGCTCCCTTCAGCAGTGTATTTCAAGTTGATCTGCCTACTCTGCTCCCCACTCTGTCTCTGGTGAATCCTCTCACCCCCCACACCTCTGGCCTGTACCCCAGCTCTTGTATGCATAAATAAATAAATCTTTTTTTAAAAAAGAAATCTGACTCTAAAATGGAGGCTTCCAGAGGTGGCGGGGGGTTGGGGGGCAAAGAGCATAATGGGCTGTGGTGGAGACTGTGGGAGCCTGGGTGGTGGGTGTGGGGTGGTGACATACATCTGAAGAGGTAGGGCCCTTTACCTCCGAATCATATCACTGTTGTAAACCAATGTCACCTCAATTGAAAAAAATACAATTGGGCCTCCCCTGGTGGCGCAGGTGGTTGAGCGCTGCGCTGCAAAGCTGTCTGCAGCCTCTGCAGCGCAGGTTCGATCCCGGCCAGCCGGCGAGGGTCCCACATGGCGCGGCGGACCTCTCCTGTCACGCCCGCTGCTCCCCTCAGCAGTGCATTTTGTCAGTCTGCCTGTTCTGTTTCCTGCTCTGTCTCTGGTGGGTCCTCTCACCCTCCCGTGCATCTGGCCTGTACCCTGATTCTTATATAAAATAAATAAAATAAATCTTAAAAAGAAAAAATACAATTTAAAACAAGAACCCCAAGAGTTAAGTTTTTCAAGTTAAGCTGTGTGGATGTCAGAAACTACCAATAACCATACAAATGGATAACTTTTGAATGCATAAATTTGAAAGTTTATATTAAAAATTAAAACATGTTTTCCCTTACAAACAGGGAAAATTAGATAAAATCATATTAACATTATTTTCTCTGGGTTGGAGATTCAAGAGTGATTCAAATATATATTTTTCTTTTGCAAGCAATCAGGTGTAAAATAAGAGACATTTCTTATTTATTTATTTATTTATTTTTTAAATAATAAATTTTATTTTTATATTCCCCATACAATTGCAGCCCCCCCATTCTGACCCCAATCCCTCCCCTCCCGTCCCTCACCCCCCAAAAAGTGTCTTTGGTTCATAGTTTTTGGTTGATTTTGATTTTCACTTTCTTATAGTTATTCATTTTCCTGGTCCCAAAATAAGAGACATTTCTATGGAAACAAAGAAAAACAAGTTAATGATTGGAGTAGACAATAATCTCAGTTGCTAAGTTTTAGGGCAAGCAGTAGAGATTATTAGATGTGCAAATATTTTTATTTCTTTTTCTTTCTATATTTTCATTGTGGACTGTGTTATTCTTATGGTCAGAGAAGAAGCAAGGACCTTACATTTTCTGCTTACACTCATTCCCACACAGTGTGTTTTTTGTGTTTTTAAAAAGATTTATTTTTATTGATTTATGCCAAAATAACTGGGGTGTAGGCCAGAGTTGCGGGGTGAGGGTGAGAGATTCATCAGAGACAGAGTGGGGAGCAGAACAGGTGGATCTACTGAAATACACTGCTGAGGGGAACAGCAGGTGAGACAGGAGAGGTCTGCTGCGCCGCGTGGGTAGCTCCCTGGCCAGGGAGTGAACTCAGGCGTCAGTGGCTGGTGACAGGTTGATAGCGCTGAGACTTTAACCGCTGCGCCACCAGGAAGACACCCACCACAATGTGTTTTTGTGGCTCATGACATCCCTGTGGGCAGGAGCTGCGTGGGCGGGTGAGCTTTTGCAACCTCATTTACAAGCCCAGGTTCCTGCTACCTACGAGTGTGGATGCCATAGGGCAGTTTTGAAGGGTGATCTGAACTTGAAGCGTCTGGGCTTGCAGGTTTCACACCATTGCATGATTTTCCTGGTTGGTGATTGTCAGGCCTCAGTCGTCTTGCTGTAGACTAGACCTTCAGAGACGCAGACCTCTGGATGGAAATTAAAAACCACCTTCAGGAGTTAGGTTTTCCGCCCTACCTTCCATTGAGGCAGGTCCTAATAATAAGTCTCCTTTTGTTGCTTCAGATTTTGTTCATCTCCTTCCTGTGGGGAGCCTACTTCTCCTTGCTGACCTCTTTTTCTCCCTCATACATCTGGTTTGTCTTCCTGAGGACGATGGTGGGCTGTGGCGTGTCTGGCCATTCACAAGGGTAAGACTCCGCCTGGAGAGCCTTGGAGAGAAATGTGTGAACATCCCAGACACTAACACACACACTGGTTAATGGACTAACAGCATCACATGGTGCAAATTAATAGACTTCACTTGTGCTAATTATTTTTGAATTTTTTTTTCCAATCATGGCTGCATATTCCATAAGGAGCTATTTGCTCATTAAAATGATGTTTGGTGGTGAGGCTAGCAGAGTGCTAGGCTGGTTCCTAAAGCTGATCACTACTTTTTAGATGAATAATATTTCAGTAGACTAGATGCTAACAAATAGTGTTACATGAGATAGGGAGCAAAAATGTCAACCCATTGCAATCTATTCATTTCTTCAGAATTTGCTGCAAGAGTTTAGTTTGCCCATAATCACCTGCGACATTTGGGAATAACCATTTTAAAGTACTATTGCCCTGTAACTTCAAAGGGAATTTGCAAAGCAGGGTGAGATATGTTGAAATAAATGCGCTGCCTCTTGTCTCTCTACTGCCCTTGGTTAAGTGTGCACTATATGTGTGTGTGTGTGTGTGTGTGTGTGAGTGCATGAAATATGTGATGCTGAATGTGCAGGGACTCGGGGTCCTCCCTTAAACAAAGAGGACTCCCCCTATGTTCTCTCCTAGATGTTCTTGGAGTTATTTACCCTTAGAATATGTTCAGAGATGTTGAGGCACATAATTATAACCTTAATGTGTTAGGGAAAGACTCATTTTTCCCCGGGGCATAAGTTAAGCATCACTCTGCGCTTCAGAGCCCCAAGGGAATAGAAGTTAGGAAGAATTTGAAATCATCCCTCAGGAAGCAGCCCCAAAATATGTCTAAAACACCAAGCCCCAAATAATAACTGCAACAGAGAAGAACAATTAGGAAATTGGTGGAATATGAGTCCCTCTGTTCTTCTATTTACAAAATTAATGTGTAGTTAATTAGAAACCTGTGCTTTGTCATCATTAGCTGGGGGAACTATTTCTCTTCTCCTGACCATGTTTTATTTTCCCAAATGTATTTAATTTATTTTTATCCAAGTAGGCTACTTTTATCTATTTATTTTGATTGATGTATAATTGACGTAAGATGCAATTTCAGATGTACATCATAGCGATTTGTCACTTGTATCCCAAGTACATTTTAGGAAAGGGAATAAGGCTTGGCCAGATACTTTGCTATTGTTCCTCTTGGCGAAAGAGGTAAGACTAATATCTCTTAAATGGTAAGAGATAGCTTCGAGAAGAAATAACTGATATTTCAGTGACTTTGGGAATAAAAATGCAAACAGAAACATAGTTGTGATTTTACTTCTTATTGTTCTCTGTGGGTATTAGCTATCACAGTTATATTTTGAAGTGTGATTTCTAGGGAAAACTCTCTCCTCTTTCCTTCACATGCTCAGAGTCACTACTTCTGACAATGCTTATGACACAGATGTGTGGATTTTTTTCTGACACCAACGAATTCTTGGACACTAGCTGCATGGCCTAGAATTCGATTCGTTTCTGACAATGACCAGAGTTAGTGCAGACCCCATAGATTAAGGGGCCAGACCTCCTGTTTCAGATGCTAATCACTGTAGATCTCAACTTAGCACATCTCCTGTCCGATTTGACTACATACTGGAAGTTCCCATAAAGCCTTCCTTGGAGTTGATTATTTGCTAGCGTGACTGACAGAAACCAGGAAAACAGTTTACTTACTATTGTTATTACAAGGACTTATTTACTGCAAACAATATTTGAAAGCATACAAAAGAACAGCTGGAAGAAGAGAAAGTAGGCCAAGGCCCAGAAGGATCCCAGCATAGAAGGGTCTGTCCCAGTGGAGCTGGGGTGTGCCACCCTCCCAGCATAAAGATGTGTTCACCAACCTGGAAGCTGTCCAGACCCTGTACTTCAGAGATTTCCACGGAGGCTTCATCACAAAGACATGATTGATTATCAACTCATTTTTAACCCCTCTCCCTTCTTTGGAGGATGAGGGTTAGGACTAAAAGTTCCAAGCTTCTTAAAATATAGATTCATTGCAATTCCTATCAGAATTTCAATGATATTCTTCAAAGAAATAAAGCAAATATTACTGAAATTTGGGGACCACAAAAGACCCCAAATGACCAGAACAATCTTGACAAAAACAGAATAGAGGTCTGACTTTCCCAGGCTTCAAACGTTACTATAAGGCCGTAGAATCAAAGCAGTGTGGTATTGTAATAAAAACAGACACAGAACAATGGAAAAGAATCAAGAGCCTAGAAATAATCCCACACTTATATGACAATATCCATAGATCCAAGAGCAACAAACAATTCTTACAACTCGACAAAAAGGTAACAAAAATCCCAAGCAAAAAATGGGCAGAAGAGCTCAATAGACATTTCTCCAAAGTGGACGTACAGATGGCCAACAGGCACGCGAAAAAAAGTTCAGCATCAGGAAAACGCAAATCAAAACCACAATGTTTTCCAAAAGGACTGGACTTATCTACTCTCCAGAGAGTTTTACCTCAATTGAAAAATGTTATAGAGGAAGAAATATAAAAGATGACCCTATCACCCAGAACATTCCTAGAGTTTTGGGACCTCAGTGCTAGGAACAGCTATTTAAGACCAACTGTCTTTAATCTGGCACAGAGACCAAATTACACATTTCCTATTATTTCATTGTATTGACTGTCTGTGTTTTTTGCACTCTTTATCCTTGTGACAAGAAGAATGATGCCTGTTTAAAAAATGTATTTGGTTTGGTTTTATAAAAAACAAAGTTGTTGTGTCTCCCCCTGTTCCTATCTAGGTTAATCATAAAGACTGAATTTTTGCCTACCAGATACCGAGGCTATATGCTGCCCTTGTCTCAGGTGAGGAACAACAGCGATTCTACTCGTCTTCTGACGCTCTAGCATGTCATACATGCGGGGTTTCTTCTGGCGGGTTGATTGTGCTGGATTAACACACTGTTTGTACTTGTGTCAAGTCTGTTATCTCTTGCTCCATGGCGGAGGTCCAATTCCTGGCTTTCTGAGCCCAGGACTTCTAGCATTCCACAGTGACAGCTGGAGCACAGCAGCCCAGAGCACTAAAGACTTCCTGGGTCTTTCATTTACTCCAGTGGATTTAGCTATCTAGAGGCTTATGACCCCCCAAATCTTTATCTACAATTAAGAGGACCTGCTTGAACTTCAGACCCAGACGGCCAATATCCTGATAGTGACTTGAACATCTCACAGGCTCCTCAAATACAACCTGTGTAGGATTTGTCTCTTGATCTTCCTCGGAAATCTCTAATTCCACACATAGCCCTGCCGGTAAACTGCTGGCCGGGAGCTCTCGAGAGAGGCCACAATAAGCACATTTGATAGGAGGAATTCTAATCTTCTCCTTCCCCCCTCCCCCACCCCCAGGTTTTCTGGCTTGCTGGCTCCCTGCTCATCATCGGCCTGGGCTCCGTGGTCATCCCCACCATTGGGTGGCGTTGGCTTATCCGCATTGCCTCCATTCCTGGCATCATCCTCATCATGGCCTTCAAGGTAAGGACTTTCGTGGGGCCCTTCCTGCCCTCCCGCCCAGCTGACTGGTGGCCTTTGCCCCACAGATCTCTTTCACATGTCCACCTCTTGACTCAAGTTATCTGTCTCAATCAGCTCATGTGGATAGGGCATTTGAGCAGAGCTGATGTGCATGGTGTGATAATGCAGAATGAATTTGGGGAGAGCAGGTAGCTGGAGTGGCTGGAGAGAGGGTTGCTACTGGGGTACAGGCTGGGAAGATAGGCCTGCATGCTAGGGGTGCCAGAAGAGGGTGTATGCCAGGAAGGACCATGGGGCTGTGTGCAGCTGGGGCAGGAGGGAGGGCAGCAGAGGCCAGAACAGCACTGGGAAGTGTGGGCATCCTGGTGGAAGATGAGGAAGACCTGACTCGCCCATTAGTTGTGAGAATGGGAAGCAAGGTGCTTCTCGGGAGACGCTTCTGAGGAAGAACCAACTGGCCCTGGATGGACGTGTGGCCTTAGGGGTAGGGAGCGTGCAAGCTGATGCTCCAGGGCCTGGCTTCAGCAGAGGCCTCAGCTGTATTCTGAGTGTGGTCAAAGTATTCAACAATCATGGCTTGAGTGACTTGTCATCAGGACTGATTGGGGAATGCTGGGGGACCCTTTAGGTTGCTGTGCTGTGGGGTGATCCTAGGGTGTCTGGGGAGAGGTTGGGGTGGTGGAGCCGTGGAGAGGCTCCAGGGGGCCCTGGGACAGCAGCGTTCACCAGTTACAGCAGCACCTCCAATACTGTCATCCCCTCCAATGCTGTTTTCTATAATGTTGATGAAAAAAACAAACAGATTCTGGTCGGGGCCACTGTCTGTGGGGTTGGCACGTTCTCCCTACATCAGCACGGGCTTTCTCTGGGTGCTCCAGTTCCTTCCCAGGGTCCAAAGGTGTGCACACGAAGCTCACTGGTGTTTCTCTATTATCCTAGTTGGCATGCGTGTTCCTGTGTGTGTGTGTGTGTGTGTTTGTGTGTCCAGGTTTGGGTCCTGCCTTGCACGCTGAACTCCTGGGTTAACCTCCAGTCAACAGCCATCCAGAACTGGTATAAATTGGTTGGAAAATGAATGACTGACTCAATGAATGACTGCCAATTATTGTTTAATATTAGAAGTGTCTGGAGACTTCAGAAGGTTGGTGATGTTTGTGTGATGACAAAGAAGCTGTAGGAACTTAATCTTGCTTGCATCAGTTAGCCTAGAGGTTCCTGTATTTGTCATTTAGCTTAAAGTTGCAGTTGTTAAGGCCCTATCAATGACATTAACTGGGGACTTCCTAGAGATGTAAGAATCTCATTGTCTTAACAAGTCGTGGGAAGTAGACTTGTGCAGAGCTCAGTAGCAACAGGCTGTCTTTCAAGAAGGGACTAAGCCAAAGGACATGACCTTTTGTTCCAAATCGAGTTTGAACGCAAGAGAACCAGAGAATGCCTGCTGTGCTGGGTGCCTTCAACATTTCTATGTCCTTTGCCCGTCTTGGGGACCATGGGATGGGATGGTATATGAAGCGATGATAACTGAACTCCTGGGGTCCATGGAGGGTACAACACTGAGGTTCTTTGTCATCTGTGTCCAGTTTATTCCCGAATCTGCCCGGTTCAATGTCTCCATTGGGAACACCCAGGCTGCCCTGGCCACGCTGGAGAGCATCGCCAAGATGAACCGCTCGTCCATGCCGCAGGGGAAGCTGGTGGAGCCCATTCTGGTGAGGTCCCGAGGGGAGTCCCCTCCCTCTTCCGGCGGCTCCCCCAAACTCCTTACCTGTGTAGCTAGCAGGAAAGGAGACCATGACTCTCTAGTCCTGCCCTTGGAGGGACAAGAGAAAAGAGCAGAGTAGATGGGACTAAATCAACTCCAAAGTGAGCAGGTGGCCCTGGCAAGTCACTTGCCTTCACTTTCCTCATCAATGAAATGGGGATAGGACACCTGCCCGCAGAGCAAGTCACGCGGCTTGGCCTCACCGTTTATGGGCGAGGGATTGTTTCATACTTTGTTTTTCTTGCACTAGCCTCATTTTATTTGGGTGTCCAAGTTATAAACCTCCTTAAAGTGATTTTAAAAACAAAATTTGGTGTTTAAATGCTAGTGGTTCGAGGATGCCTTGAACTTGTATTTGCCTGCGCTAACACTCACCTTTTACTAGGTTATGTTGCTGTAACAAATAATTGCTATATTTCAGTGGTTTATAAAATAAAGATTTATTTCTCATTGAAAAAAAAAAAGATTTATTTATGCATACAAGGACAGAGGTGTGGGGGGTGAGAGGATTCACCAGAGACAGAGTGGGGGACAGAACAGGCAGATCTACTGAGATACACTGCTGAGGGGAGCAGTGGGCCAGTCAGGAGAGGTCTGCTGCGCCATGTGGGTAGCTCCCTGGCTGGCCCATGATTGAACTCGTGCTGCAGGAGCTGTGGATTGCTTCACAGTGCTCTGCATAACTCCTTGCACCACCAGGGAGGCCCAGTTCCAGGACTCTTGAGGTCAACCAGCAATCATTTCTCATACAAGGTCAGATCACCCATTTCACCCACCTACAGATGAGTCAGCACAGCTTCCAGGAAGAGGTTACCGGAACGGGTTACCCTTTTCACCTGTTCTGTCATCTTAATAGCAGTTTCTAGAAGGTAAAACTTGCCTGTAAAGCAGTTTATGCCTAATATTTGTTTTGAGTCGGGGGGAGGTGTTAGGGGATGTTAGAAGGATTTTTAAAACTATGATTCAGTTTATGTGACATTTGGAATCTACTTATGTTTTAATGCTAGAGTCCATTTTGATAATGTCTATCTTTTAGAAAATTGCCCAATTCATGTTGGTCTTCAAATGCGTTGATTAAAATTGGTCCCAGTTGAGTTTCAAAAATCTGTGTACGTCTCTTTTTCATTTTTAATGTTGTGTATTTGTGCCTTCTCTCTTTTCTTAATCCATTTTATTGGAAGTTTGTCTGTTTTATTAAACCTCAAAGAACAGGATTTTTGTTATTTTCCTGATTTTTGGTGGCCTCATTAATTTGTGCTTATTATCTTATTTTCTTCCTTGGCTTTTTATGTTCTTCTAGTGCGTAGCTTTTTGAGTTCAATACTTAGCTCATTTATTTTGTCTTTTTGATTTTTAATAAACCATTTAGCTACATCCAGCAAGTTTTGTTGCAGAGTCATCTTATTTTTATTTAGATTTTGTAACTGTTAGGAGTTTCTCTTTAACCGAGTGAGTTATCTATGACTGATCTCTTTTATTCTTTGCTTCTAGTTTAAATTCATTTTGGTCAGCGTATGTCATCAATTATTTGTATTTTTTGAGATTTTTCTCTTGTTCTCTACATAATGACTTTTTGTTCATGTTCTACACGTGATTAAAAGAATGTGTGTTCTCAGTGAGCACATAACACATATAGATACATATATATATTTTATTGTGCCACATAATTATCTAAAACTTGCCCTGGAGTTTGCCTGCTTAAGCTAATTGTTTTTTAATAAGAAGATGGTTTTGTTAACTTTCCCGTAGGCACGACAGTTAACGCCATAGATTTCGAGGACGTCTTGTTTCATGTGATTGATTCATTCTGTGGGAAGAATAATCTCATTATTTGAAGCATTTCTTTATCCCTCTTTTGCTTTGGGCCGCTTAAGCTAATTGGGAAATAGTCTATTTCTTCTTATATTAGTAGCTGGAAACTAGCTCTGCTTAGTATTTTCCTGGCAGGTCTTTCTGTAGTCCCTTATGTTTGACCTTTCAGTGTTAATTTGCTTTACATGTTTTTCTTGTAAATATATAACTGATGTTTATTATTTTTTCACTCAGTCTGATATTCTATGTCTTTTAATAAAGAGTTTATCCACTTACATTTATTGTAACTGGTGATCTATATTTGACCTTACTTTGGGTCATTTTTTACTGGTTCCTTAACCATATTTTTCTTACCTTCTATGAGATTGAGTCAATTTGCTGTTTTTCTTCTGCTATTTCCCTCTACTGAATGGCACAGTTTGTTTCTTTTATTATAGAGGTAGCCCTTGATTGAAAATGTGTGCCTACAATATCTCATGTTATTTGCTGTCTCTATCTGCCTTCTGAACAATACAAGGACCTTAAACATTAATTCTGATCCGCCCTTGTCTCATCTTCTGAGTCATTTTTGTCTGGTATTTTAGTTTCAGTTGACTCATAAGTTTCCCTAAATTAGGCATCATTTTAAAGCCAGTGTCTATATTTATTCATTTTTTTACTTGTGTCTTTTTAAAAATTGGGTTGGAACTGCCCCCCCTTCCTTTCTATTGGGTTAATTTGGTTCCATGCTTAATATCTAAATGCTGGGTCTATCTGGGTTTAATTGACTCTGAGAAATATGGCACAGATATAGCACTGCCATGTCCAGTGGCTAAACAGATGCACTCATATTTTTGTTGAATAATCCATCTCTTATATATTTGTTTCTCTTTTGGCATATTCTGTTCTAATGTATAGATTCAAATATATGTGAGGACTTAATATTATTGGGAGAAGAAAACAACCAAATTGGCTCCATCCATTATGACACTGTTTTAATTACAATATTTTGTAATACATTTTTTTATATCTAGTAGGGTAAGTCCCTAAGTTCCCTTTGTCAAATCTCTTTTTCAGAATTTTCCAAGCTGTTTTCTCAGTCCTGTTTTTCTAGAACAACTCTGAAGTCCCTTTATCAGGATCTTCTTTCAATTTCCCCCTTAAAAACCTATGAAAAGTTTTATTGGGATCATGTGTGGTTATAGGTCACCATAGAGAGGATGGATGTCTTTATAAAATAGAGTAATCTGTTCGGATGCAGTATATTTCACTATTTGTTCAAGCCTTTTTATAACCAGCAGCTACTGGTTGAAGCCCAGAACCCCCAACCTGTCATTCTAGGTCACCCATGTTCTTTATCCATCAGCCACAGACTCTTAGCTGTAGGGCCAGACACAGATTTTGATAGGGGAAGGAGGAACAGAATGTCGGGAGGCCAGACATCTGGACAGCCAGGGGGCATCACCGCGGAGGTGGAGTGACGTGGAGCCAGACGCCATGGTGCGGAGAGAAGCTGGCTCTTCCCAGCCCTCCCAGGCCCAGAGTTTTTTTTTTTTTTGGTGTCCCAGCTTTATTGAAATCATTGACATATAACACTGTGTAACTGTAAGGTGTGCAATGGGTTGATGCGAGACTTAAAGTTTGCAAAAAATGATCACCACCATAGCACCAGTGTGTACCTCCCCTGCGCAGTCACCACCGTGTGTGTGGTGCACTGAGAACATTTAAGATCTACTCGCTTAGCAGCTTTCAAGTGCACGGTGCTTGGCACTAACTGCAGGCACCATGCTGGACACTAGGCCTCCAGTGTTAAGTCATTTTCTTTTCTTTTCTTTTCAAGATTTATTTATTTATGCACACAAGAACTGGGGTATAGGCCAGAGATGCAGGGGGTGAGAGGATTCACCAGAGACAGAGTGGGGAGCAGAACAGGCAGACTGACTGAAATGCACTGCTGAGGGGAGCAGCGGGAGAGATAGGAGAGGTCTGCTAAGTCTGCTGTGCTATGTGGGTAGACCTCTGGACTGCTGGGGATCAAACTCATGCTGCAGAGGCTGCAGACAGCCTCGCAGTGCTGTGTTCAACCCTTTGTGCCACCAGGGATGCCTGTAAGTCATTTTCTAATTTGAGTGTGTAGCCTCTGACTGACATCTCTCCCCTCCGCTCCCCTCCCCCGGCCCCTGCAGCCACCCTCTGCTCTGTTTCCACAAGTTCCATTTTGTTAGATTCCACATACAGCGACATCATGCAGTATCTTGTCTTTTTCTCTTCCAATCTGACTCATTGCAAAGGAATTAAACTTTGTTGACTGAGAAAGAAGGACAGTGGGCTTGGCTAACGTGTGTTTGTTGGTGCTAATTGTGAGCTCCGTCAGCTGCAGCTCAGGGGTCAGGCAGGCTGTGGCCTCTCCAAGGTGGGCATGTCAGGGAGGCCGTGTGCCCACAGCTGCAGTTTGAGTGGGTCTGGTCTCCAGGCCTGGGCCTCATCCCTTCTCGCTCTGTGGCTCCTTTTCCTCAGCGCAGCCAACTTGATCAGCTGTGGAGCGAGCTCAGGAGCGCTCAGGCTGGGGAAAACGAGGCATAAGAAGCAACGGACCAAGGGAACGGCAACAGGTGTCTGGGCCCAGAGTCATCAGGATTTCTTTTAATCCTCTTATTAACCAGCTTCTTAACTTGTTTACCAGCCCATGGAAACAGCAAATTTTCCGTCCTGGAGCCTGTCCTGTCCTTGTCCTGCAGCCTGTCTGGTCCTGGAGCCTGTCCTGTCCTTGAGCCTGCCCTGACCTTGTCCTGCAGCCTGTCCTGTCCTTGTCCTGGAGCCTGTCCTGTCCTTGAGCCTGTCCTGACCTTGTCCTGGAGCCTGTCCTGTCCTTGTCCTGGAGCCTGTCCTGTCCTTGAGCCTGTCCTGACCTTGTCCTTGAGCCTGTCCTGTCCTTGTCCTGGAGCCTGTCCTGTCCTTGAGCCTGTCCTAACCTAGTCCTGGAGCCTGTCCTGTCCTGTCCGGGAGCCTGTCCTGTTCTTGTCCGGGAGCCTGTCCTGTCTTGCTACCACCTCTCCTCCTTCCCTCTATATTCCAATCCCCTCGCCACTTTTCTCACCCCAACCCCTCTTCTCTCCCTTCCCCTTCTTGCCGCCTTCTGCCTTACCTCGGCAGCCTCTTCTGTCACCCGCTAAGTGACCTTGTCCCCCATGATCACCAGCTGTGCAAGGTCCTGCGGGTGCAGAGATACAAGAGCAGGTACTTCCTTCCCGTGTCCTGCAACCAGGTTAGTGTTGAGACCCACGCAGGAGAGAATCAAGTTGATACCAGAGGCCCTCCCTGGTGGTGCAGGGGTTAGACAGCACAATCAAGCTGTCGCCAGCCTCTGCAGCACCAGTTCAATCCCCCTCCAGGAGCTACCCACATGGTGCAGCAGACCTCTCCTGACTCGCCCGCTGCTCCCCTCAGCAGTGTATTTCAGTCATTCTGCCTGTTCTGCTCCCCACTCTGTCTCTGGTGGATCCTCTTACCCCTCGCACCTCTGGTCTACACCCCAGTTCTTGTATGCATAAGTAAATAAATCTTTAAAAAAGCAAACAAGTAGCTACCAGAGCCCAGGTGTGTAGGGCCCGTTGTGGGGCCGGCGGCAGGTACATGGGGCGGGCGGCAGGTGTGCGGGATGAGAGGGAGAGGACGCTGTGGGCTGTGGCTCCTGCAGGAGAGAAGTGGGCGGGAATTGAACCCTGGAAGGAGGGGCGGCCTCTGGAGGAAAGAGGTCCCGCAGGCAGGGGGGTGGGGTCAGTGGAGACCGACAGTGGGTCTGCCGTGACGGGGTCTGTGGAGGGGGCTGGACAGCTGTGGAGGGCGGTGGGGTCTCTGCTGCTTCACCGACGACTCTGAGGCCAGCAGCTCGCACCCCCCGCGGCAGACGAGTCTGCCCACTCGGATGGCAGCCGAGGTTTCAGACACTGGCTTATTAGGACAAATTTTATGGCTCATTGTGATTCACTGCAGAGTCAGCCTTCTAGGTCTCCACTGGGGAGACTCAGGGCTGGTGGGCAAGACTCAGGGCTGGTGCCCCAGAGACCTGGACTCCAGCCCGACTGTCTCCAAACAGGTGTGTGACCTTGGGCACGTCATTGACCCGCCTGGGCCGCACACTCTGCCTTGGAAAATGGGAGTCTGGGACGAGGTGTAAGGGCAGGAACTGGACACAGTGCAGGTTTTCTGATCCCATGCAGACCGGGTAAAGGAGGAGTCAGAGTCCTCAGTGGTTTTGCAGGTTTTTTATTTGGGGTTCACCAGGCATATGGCAGGCAGGGGTGCTGGCAAGTCTTCACTCTATCTGGGCTCTCTGGAGTTCGTTCTGCTGCTTCTCGGCTTCTCTTTTGGCTTTGGCTTCGGCTTCTGCTGCTGCTGCTGGTGTCCCCGTGACGCCGCCCTTAAAAAGCACAGTCTTAGCTCAGCTGAATCCCATCTACCTATGCCCACACCCTATTCCAGGTGCCCGCCATCAGGCATGCATTCAGGACAAGGATCCATCATCTATCCTGATGGCGGAAGGGCAGAAAAGCCTGACATTTTCTTTACCCTACACGAGGCCAGGGCTTTCTCAGCCCCAGGACGTGAAGCAGATGACAGGGGGTGTCGCTTGCTCCCCTGCACCCGCAGTGACCTCCAGGAGCAGAGCCTGGAAGTCACTACAGCAAGGCCTGGAGCGCCCCCAGCTCTAACTCCCCGTGACACCAAAATCCAGGACAGCCAGGGCCGCGCTCTTGGTCTCCGTAGAGGGGCCGGCACCCCAGGTCCTTCTGTGTGAAAAGAGCGGGTGATTTTCAAGTGAGTGCCGTCCCCTCCTCGAGGTACCCAACGCCCTCGGCCCGGAGAGCCCGTCCGGGTATGTTTTCACCCAGTATTTCACGGGCATTGGCTGTGGGCGAGAACTTTCGCTGCCTGCCCTGAAGCCGCGGTGGAAACTGGGTTTCTGTTCCTTTTGTCACATTCTTTGTTTTCTCACACAAGCCTCATGCTCTTTTTTCACGCAAGATTTCCCCTCGGAACGGTGATGGGAAAGGAATCTTCTAGCAGTTTCATGGTCACTTTGCACGTATCCTATTTTTTCCTCCTCTGCACCGTTCCCCAGAGCAGAAGGACGAGGAAGCATGAAAGAGTCAGAATCTTAAGTTCAGTGCGTTCCGGAGCCTGCCAGTGGCAATGAAGCACCTGCCGAGACACATGTGTTAAGAGAGCAGCGTGTTAAGCAACAATGACCTGTGGGTCTGGGCGAATAGTCCTCCGGGGCCACAGGGTCAGCCCCGCCCCCGCCCCACTGCTTGTTTTCACTCCTCTGGAATATTAGAAACACCTTTGTCCGTCCTTAACCCGCCGAATGTGCTCTGTGTCTCCCTGTTCATAACCCCAGGATAAAAGAGGAAGATTTAAAGATTTGTTGGATGCGAAGTATTTACGGACCACCTTACAGATCTGGGTCATATGGTAAGATTGCAATTATTTTAAAACTAGTCTTAAGTAAACGAGCATTTGGAGAAAGTGCCCTGCAGGGAATCTGCTCTGAGAGCCACTGAGGTAGATCCCAGCAGCTTCTGAGCTTTCTGCTCTCCCCGCCAGCCACCCAACCAAATAAACAGATACGTTTGCTTTAAAGGGGACAGAAATGGTCTGCAACCCGGCTTTTTTCACCCTGTGAGGTCACTTTAGAACTTGTTTGAGTCTGGTCTTTTTCTTGACATAGGGGAAGCATGTTTTCTACTGTAATAGATAATTCCAAGCAGTTTTCCATAGTGATTATGCTAATTTGCACTCCAGTCAGCAATGTACGAATCTTCTAGCCACTTCACCTCCTTCTCAACACTTGCTATAGTCAGTCTTTTTAATTTTAGTCCTCAGGTGGGCCTATAATGCATCTTTTTAGGTTTTCACGTGTATTTCCTCTGTGATTTTAAGATTGAGCGTGTTTTTGCATGCTGCTTTTATACACATTTTCGGTCAAGTTCCTATTCATGTCTCTTGCTTATTTCTCCACTGGGTTATGTATTTTTTCTTGATGAAGAAAATTACCTATAATTTGGCTCAGCAATTCCACGCCTAGGTTTAAATCCAGCAGAAATGCATACATATATTTCCCAAGACATTTGCCTGAATGTTCATAGTATTATTGTATTTGTCACAGTTTCAAACTCCAAACAACCCAGTCTTGCGTTGTGTTATATTCCTAAAGTGGAATGCTATGCACCAATGAAAATGAGTAAACCAGTGTCCTGTACTCAACATGGCTTAATCTTGCAAATGTAGTAAGGAACAAGGGAACCAGACACACAGAATACATATATGATTTGATTTATATAAAGATAGAAAACAGATAAAACTATGGTATAGGAATTCAAGGAAGTGCTTGTCTTTCTGCCTTTCCCAGATATACTCACTATTATTAATAGGTTTGTATGTCTCCTCTTTTAAAAAAATATGTTTTTATTTGAATATTAAGTAAAAAATTATAATTACTTTAATAACAAGGGGAGGCATTTTGATTATTTTCTTTTAAAATATTTCATTATGGCTATTTCCAAATTATACGTGCAACTGAGTGTATATCATGAGGAATTCTGACTTACTCATCACCCAGACCTCATAATTATGAATGTTTGCCCATATTTGCTTCAGCCATGCTTTTCCAGAACTGGAAAAGTATTTTCAAGCAAGTGCCAGGGTTCATGACATTTCACCTCAAATACTTCATGAAGAGTCTCTACTCCAGAACATTTTCTTACTTGACTCCAAGTCTGTAATCACTGCAAAGTTAACAGTCCTCACTGTGGTATCATCCATGCCCAGGACAGCGGAGGCCCCTGATTGGCCCATGTGCCTCCAGCTGGTTTTTACAATCATTTCTGTGAAACTGAGAGGGGCCCGAGGTGGGGGTGAGCACTTCTGGGATGCTCAGATATTCTGCCTCAACTTTGCAAACCTTTCTGTAGGCTTTTTTTTTTTTTTTTTTTTGTGGGCCCCTCGCTGGTGGCCAGGGATCGAACTGGCACTGCAGAGGCTGCGGGCAGCTTCGCAGCCCAGCGCTCAACCGCTGCACCACCAGGGGAGGCCCTCTGTAGGCTATTTTTATTCCTCAACACAAATACCTAATCAAAGATAGGTAGGGGGGAGAAAAGACCAGAAGAAAATGTAAAGTCAGTCCTGCGGCTCCTCCTGGCTTGCTAAGCACCCTCTGTGGTAGAATTGCAGAGAGGACCCTAGCGCCCAGCTCCTGGGGATTAGCAAACACGGGTGTGGATGCTGATGTGAAAGGCCCGCGTGGATGGAGCCGAGGCTGCACGGCACAGAGAGCCAGCGGAGCCTGCATGAGGCAGGTGCCCCCCATCTAATCACGGAGCTCTGAAAAGTAGAGGGAGTTCTCAAGCGGACTCAGATGCAGCCAGAGCAAAGGCCCGAGAAGCAGCCAAGGACCGTCAGAGGGACGCGAAGCCCGAGGAGGGGGTCTCCCCACTGTTGCTGGCCTGGAAAGCAAGGAGCAGGGACCCCGCGGAAGCTGAGACCAGCTGCTTCCCCCCAGCAGAGAATGGAGAGCAGTTCTGCAGCCCTGTGCAGAATTCTCCCCGGGTTCTCCCCGCTCCCCAGAGGCCCGGGGCCTGTCGGCCTTTCATTCCTGCCTGGGGGGCGCTCAGCAGTCCCCAGCCCGACCCCAGAGCTCCTGCCCCCAGAACTGCGAGACCAGTGCTGGCCTTTCAGCCTCGGTCTGCGCTGCTTTAACAGGGCATGAGCCCCAACCGCAGACTCCTTCCCCCGGCGGTGGGGTCCTCCAGCATGGGCCCCATCGAGCCCCCCTCCCGGCCCTCCCCCTGCACTGTCCTTGCACCGGGAGCCTCACCCCGCACCCCTCCGCCCCTCCCGTGAAGGAGGCTCCAGCCTGTCCTGAGACGCTGATTCTCGCCTCCAGGCTGGGCATCTCCTTCGCCTACTACGGGGTCATCCTGGCCAGCGCCGAGCTGCTGGAGCGAGATCTGGTCTGCGGGTCGCGCCCCGAGTCCACGGAGGTGGTGGCCACGGGGGCCTCGGGGGACGGCGGGAGCCCCTGCCATTGCCACATGTTCACCCCCTCCGACTACCAGACCATGATCATCAGCACCCTCGGCGAGATTGCGCGTAAGCGGCTCTCTGGGGCCTTCGGGGTGGGGGACCTGCCCGCCGAGCCTCCCCCAAGAGAAGTGGGACCTGGGTGCATGGCCCCCGCGGGCACTGGGGCGGGGAGCAGCTGCCTGGGGGAGCAGAGCTTTGAAGGACTGTTCGCTATCAATTCTGAGATGCCTGTCCCCCCGCATTTCACCCGCTCTGGAACTCACGTAGCTTGTGTGCAGCTGGGCCCGTGTAGCTCGGTGGAGTTCAGCGGCTGCTCCTGCTGTAGGAGCAGCTTCTGGCGGCTACCCCAGGCCTGAGTGAAGTGGGACAGTACTAAGCAGCGAGATACTGAGGCGATTCCCTGGCTTTCAGTCATTTGTTTTAACTGTTCCACAGTATTTGTTAATCTCTTGCAGCGCCTAATTTCTAAATGTTATCACGGGTTTGCACATGTAGGAAAACACATATGGGCTTTGGCATCTCGGCTGCCAGCACCCACTGGGGGTCTTGGGATCTATTCCCTGCAGATAAGGGGGGTGGGTGTGTGTGTGTGTAACATACTTGAAAATCTGTGGCACCTTGAACTTGATAAAAAACTTTTTTTGTTTTAAGATTTATTTATGCATACAAGAGCTGGGGTACAGGCCAGAAGTGTGGTGGTGAGTAGCTTCACCAGAAACAGAGTGGGAAACAGAACAGGCAGATTGACTGAAAACACGGCTGACGGGAGTAGTGGGCAAGTCAGGAGAGGTCTGCTGCGCTATGTGGGTAGCTCCCTGGCCGGGGATCGAACTCATGTTGCAGTGGCTACTGATAGCTTCATAGGTTGCGTCTTAACCCTTTGCACCACCAGGGAGGCCCAAACTTGATATAAAGCATTTTAAATGGAGGTGTAGCGAATTGGCCCTTGACGACAGGCCCACGGGGTGTAACCAGCTTCCTGGGCATGAACCACCATGCACACACGGTGCTTGTCCCTCTGGATCCACACCCACAGTCCGGGAGGACAGGGCTGTAGCACTCGTGAGGTCTGGGTGAGGTTGCTGCTTTAGGGAGTGACGCGGAGGACTCGGCCAGTGTTGATAGGTGCCACCTGCTTTCAATCTTCCAGAAATTGCCTTTGTCATTTGCTTTCCAGTGAATCCTTTAAATATCCTGGGCATTAACTTCCTGGGCCGACGGCTGAGCCTTTCTATTACCATGGGATGCACGGCTTTATTCTTCCTGCTCCTCAATATTTGCACTTCAAGGTATTTTCTGTTTGCTTGGAAACCGTTTAGTATTGTGTGGCGATTTAAAGTGGGGTCTCCTGACCCTTTGTGTTCAGTCAAGTCCCTTTTATGGGAGAGTAGAGACTGCCCATCTGCCTAGAAGATCTTGCCTGGTGCTGCTGTGCCCACCTGCCTCTTGCTGAGCCTCCCCTGGCAGCCACCCTGGCGTGGGGGGTGGGGGTGCCATCCCAGCTGCACTCACATCACCCATCAAGCTCCCTGGAGAACCTGGACCCCAGTTCACCTGATTATGTGGGCCCTTGTCACATCCTGGTCACATACCTGTGCTGTGGAAATTCATTTCACATTTAATTTCACACTAGCTTCTAGCGTGGCCACGATTATAGATCATTTATTCTGCAACTGCACCGTTGGTGGGGTGGCAGATGTGCTAATGGGGGTGCAGGTTGGATGATGGCACACTTGGGAATGGAGAGGGAGGGGAATAGGATTGAAGGTTTGAATCAGGTGTTTTCTTTAGGCTGCACAATTGGGTCAGATGAAAAGCAGCTGCCCTCAGGCGTGGTGGAGCTGGGTATAAGGCCCGGAGGCCGCGGAGGCCCTCCACGCTGCCCTGGTAACTTCCTTTCTCCCTGCTCCCCAGTGCCGGTCTCACTGGCTTCCTCTTCATGCTGAGGGCCCTGGTAGCAGCCAACTTCATCACCATCTACATTTACACCGCTGAGGTGGGTTTTGGGGAAAGGGTTGGTTTTGTCTGGGGGTACCTGGGGGTGCAAGGCGAGCTTTTTTGGGGTGTCTGTTCATAGACCACATCCCTGGCTCCTGTGGGCTTCCGGATGCCATTCTACAAGGACTCCAGAGAGTTCGTGGGTTTCCCCCCGTACCCCACTGAGCCCAGTGAAAGCCAGTCAAGAGCAGAGCTGGGACCTCCTGCCACGGTCTTTGCTCACTAAACAGCACGCGTGTAAAGGCCAAATCGCTGCCCTTTGTGTGCTGCCAGAAAGAGGCCAGCAGCAGCATGCGGCAGCGAAAATGAAAAACGCCACCGCTGGTTTTGAAATTAGAATGTATCTTTTCCCTTCTTTGAAAAGATCATTCCCCTCCGCTTGCTGCCACAAGCAGCTTAAAGCTGAATGATTTAAACTTAATAAATTTCTTGAATGAACGCATCTACCCCATGCCAGGCTCTCCCAGAGGGAGCCAGAGGATTTCCTCATGACCCCACTTCAGAGAGGGCGTGTTCCTTGACATAAACAGTGAATAGGAAACTTAACAGTATTTTAACCGGTTTTGTCAATCACCGAGCTACAGAAAAGGGCGCGTTAGGGACTGGAAAAAGTTCATGTCAGGAAATGCAGAAGTCTGTTCCGATCTGATGTGTCAAATCACAAAAGCCACAGAGAAAAATAGGAAATGGTGGCATCGTTGAAATATGTATCACACTTCATCCAGCTCCATTAATAAAATCTAAAATTATTTCATGAACTTACTGACTTAGACTGTGATGTGGTATCCTAGGATTCTATTTGGAACATTCATGGAAAGGGTCAATTTCGCTATTTTTAAAATATCGTGTAAAATATTGTTAAAGATGTGTACCTGGAGCTGATCATCTATGATTCCGCCTCCCAGAACTGTCAGAATATGAACAAAATCTTTATTGATATTCTACAAGGAAAATAATCATGTATATGAACTCAGTTTTCTGTTGCAGCCAACAGCCTCATTTGCAGAAAAAGAAAAGCTCCTGAGAGCGGGTCCCCACCCACCCCAGTCTCTCCAAGATGGGGCACGTCCTCTGTGGCAGGAACCCATCTTGCTTTTGCATTTGACACCCTGTGGCTAAGGGACCACGTGCTTTGCTTTGCTGTAGTGACCTGAGAAAAACTCCCATGGGTACTGTATAGCATGGAAAATTCCAGAAGTTTTGAAAAGCAATTCTTTCCCACCAAGTGTTCTCCCTATAATCTTTATTAAGCAATACGGGCTTACTTACCTTCTACCCATGCCTGTAAGAATTCTGAGTCAGTGACATACAGATGAATGAGATTATCATCTACAATTTAAAAAAAAAATGCAGCCAGAGTGGACAGGGCTGTAAGATTCTGCAGAGATCATCGTGAAGGCGCCCGGCACTCGGCCCAAATGTCCTCACTGTGTCTGGGTCAAAGGTCGCGGGGGCTTGTTAGCTGGGGAGTGCTCTTTCCACTCGGCAGAAACGTTCTGCTGTTTCAAGCTCTAACATGGAATCTGACTAGAGTTTACTCTTCTAAAGTTCTGTCTGGCGTAGTCATCTGGCAGAGTCACTCAACACATATTTGAGATGCACTCAAAAGATAATTTCTAAGTGTTTGTTTTTCCTGCCTTTGTTCATTCAAGTTCTGGACTTGAGGAAACGCACACTTGTATTCCAGACCGCAGACATCTAGAGAGAGCATAGGTTTGGGAGGGCTCTACCAAGGCAGGCAGGGAGACCCTGCGCTCACTGCTGCTCTCTCTGCACCCCCCCAGGTCTACCCCACGACCATGCGCGCTTTGGGGATGGGGACCAGCGGCTCCCTGTGTCGCATTGGGGCGATGGTGGCGCCATTTATAGCCCAGGTAAGACCAAGAGATGATTTAAGGGGCAGGCGGGGAACGAGGGCCTGGGTCCCTTCCGTGTAAGGTTCGGTTTCCTTGGTGCGTTTCGAGTTGTTCTCTACCAGCCGCTGGATGGATCTGGGTGGGAGTGGTTGGATGGATCTGGGTGGGGATGCTTCCAGGTTTCCAATCGTCCGCGGCGTGCCTGGCACCGCGTGCAGGGCTGGGGTTTTGTTGGGCACTGTCGGAGGATGCAAAGGAAGTAACAGGAGCTGGAGCAGACAACAGTGGGCTCTAACCTTGGCCCTGGCCTGTGGTTGGAGCCTTATTTCAAGAGGCAAGAAGGCCGACGGGTTCCTTATCTCCTCGTCCTCACTAACTTGCATCTTCCTGATTTGTCAGGACTGCGTTGGGTGTTTGGTGATTCCACACAGATTTCAGGATTGTTCTAGTTCCATGAAAATGCCATTGGAATTTTGGTAGTGGTTGCATTGAAGCTGTAGATCGTTTGGGGTGGTGTGGACATTTTAGCACGATGCTTTCGATCGGTGAACATGAAATACCTTTTCATGTGTGTCTTCAATTCTCATCAATGTCTTAGAATGTAGAAATAGAACAAGTGATTTTTGCCAAGTGATTTGGGTCATGCCACTTTATTGAATTCATTTATTCTCATAGTTTTTTGGTGGCGCCTTTAGGTTTTCCGTGTATATTGTCATCTGCAGGTGGTGACAATTTTACTACTTCCTTTCCAATTGGTATGGCTTTTATTTCCTTTTCTCATGTAGTTGCTCTGGCTGGAACTTCCAAGACTGTGCTGAACAGTGTGGTAAGGATGAGTAGCCTTTTCTTGTTTATGATCTTAGAGGAAAATCTTTCGGCTTTTCACCATTGAGTATGATGTTAGCTGTGGGCCTTTATGACCGTTATTGTGTTGAGGTGTATTACCTCTGTCCCCACTTTGAGAGTTGTTTTTTTTTTTTTTTTTAAGATTTATTTATTTATTTATACACTGCTGAGGGGAGCAGCGGGCACGGCAGGAGAGGTCTGCGTGCCATGTGGGACCCTCGCTGGGGGCCTGGGATCGAACCAGCGCTGCAGAGGCTGTGGGCAGCTTCGCAGCCCAGCGCTCAACTGCTGCGCCATCAGGGAGGCCCGGGAGTTTTTTTTTAAACCATAAATGAATGTTGAATTTTGTCAAATGCTTTCCCCCCTCAACTATTGAGATGTGATGTTTGTTCCTCATCTTGTTAATGGGGTGTGTCAGTGGTTTTTGGATGTTAATCCGTCCTTGCATCCCTGGACTAAATCCCACTTGATCATGGTGTGTGAGTCTTTTAATTTATTGACTTTAGTGTGTTCATTTTTTTGAGCATTTTGAAATCTATCCTCATGGAGATATCAGCCTATAATTTTCTTATGTCTTTGTTTGCTTTTGATAGCAAGGTAATGCTGCCTTGCAAAATGAGTTTAGAAGCACCCTCCCCCACCCTTTGTGTTTTGGAAGAGTTTGAGAAGCATTGACATCAATTAATTAAGTATTGGTTGAGTTTCACTGATGATGAAGTTGTTTTGAGTTGCATATCATTGTGACTGGAAAAGATGCATGATAATGTTTTCAGTGTTACAAAATTCATTAAGACTTGTTTTGTAACCTGGCATACATCTGTCCTTGAGAATGTTCCATGTGTGCTTGGGAAGAATGTATATTCTATTGCCTTTGGATGGAATGTTGTTTGTGCCTGTTAAGTCATCTGATGTGGGCCTCCCTGGTGGCCCAGGAATTGAGTCTCAGCTCAACTAGCCTGAATTCAATCCCCGGCCAGGGAGCTACCCACATGGCACAGCAAACCTCTCCCGTCTCACCTGCTGCTCCCCTCAGCAGTGTATTTCAGTGGATCCACCTGTTCTGCTCCCCACGCTGTCTCTGGTGAACCCTCTATCTCCACTTCACCCTGCCCCCAACTTCTGGCCTACACCCTAGCTCGTCTATGCAAAAGTAAATAAAATCTTTAAAAAAGTCCACCTGATCTGATGTCCATTAAGTCCAATGTTTCCTCGATAGATGATCTATTCACTCATGAGAGGGCATGGAAATCCTGTTATTATATTGCTAGTTCTCTTTTATGTCTGCTAATGTTTGCTCTATTTAGGTGCTTCTATGTCGGGTGCATATTTACAAATGTTATATCCTCTTGCTGGATTGATCCTTTTACCATTATGTAATGAACGTCTCTGTCTCTTATTAGTCTATTTTGTCTGATATAACTATGCTGGTATTCTTTTAGTTTCCATTTTCATGGATTCTTTTCCTACCCCTTTTACTTTCAGTCTCTGTGTGTACCTACATCAGTGTCTTGTAGTCAGCATTTAGATGGATCTTATTTGTATCCAGTTAGCCACTCTTTGTGTTTTGTTTTTTTTTTTAAAGATTTATTTATTTATTTATACAAGCACTGGGTACAGTCAGAGGCGCGGGAGGGTGAGAGAATTCACCAGAGCCAGAGCGGAGAGTAGAACAGGCAGGCTGACGAAGTACACTGCTGAGGGGAGCAGCGGGCGGCAGGAGAGGTCTGCGCGCCATGTGGGACCCTTGCCTGGCGGCCGGGGAGCAGCCAGGGATTGAACTGGCACTGCAGAGGCTGTGGGCAGCTTCGCAACCCAGCGCTCAACCACTGCGTCACTGGGGAGGCCCCACTCTTTGTTTTTTGATTAGAGAATTTAGTCAATTTAAATTTAATTATTTTTTCAAATTTATTTGTTTAAAGATTTATTTATTTATGCATACAAGAGCAGGGGTACAGGCCAGAGGTGCGGGGGGTGAGAGGATTCACCAGAGACAGAGTGGGGAGCAGAACAGGCGGATCCACTGAAATACACTGCCGAGGGGAGCAGCGGGTGAGACAGGAGAGGTCTGCTGCGCCATGTGGGTTTCTCTCTGGCTGGCCGGGGATTGGACTTGTGCTGCAGAGGCTGCGTTTTTGCCTCATAGTGCGGAGTGCTTAACCCCTTGCGCCACCAGGGAGGCCCTAAATTTAATTATTGACAGGTGTGTACTTGTTACCATGTTGTTCATTGATTTCTAATTGTCCTTTCCACTCTTGCTTCCTTTGTGATTTGATGACTTTTCTGTTCCTTTTTGTGTACCTACTATAGGCTTTTGCTACGTGGTTACCACGCCACTTCCAAGGACAACTTAGCTATAGTAGGCTGTGTAGCTATAGTGACTTAAGTGTGAGTGCATTCTAAAGTTCTACATTTTTACTCTTCCTCCCCACTTTTTGTTTTTGATGTCACAATTTACATCTTATTTTTACTTTTGTTTGGTAACCTTTATAAGCTTGTAAATGATTAACCCATTTTATATTAGCTTAGTTTGTATTTTACTATGTTTATCTTTACGAGTGAGATTTATACTTTCATTTATTTTCCTGTTACTGATTAGCACGCTTTGTTTCTGCTTAAAGACATCTTTACTAGTTCCTGTCTGTCTAGTGGTGATGAACTATAACTGATTTATCTGGAGAACACTATTCTTCAGTTCTGAAGGATGGCTTTGCTTGGTATAGTGTTTTCTGTGGGTGGTTTTTCCTTTCAGCACTTTGAATTTATTGCACCTTCTGACCTACAAAGTTTCTGATTGGGTGAGGGTAGGATTCCCTTTTATGGACACGTTTTTCTCCTTTAACTTTTGAACACTTATGCATAGAAGAACTGAGGTGTAGGCCAGAGGTGCAGGGATGGGGTGGGGTTGGGTGAGAGGATTCCCCAGAGACAGAGTGGGGAGCAGAACAGGCAGATCCACTGAAATACACTGCTGAGGGGAGCAATGGAGCGAGAGGAGAGGTCTGCTGTGCCATGTGTGGGTCACCTCCCTGGCTGTAGCAGTGATAGGCTGAGACTTGACCACTCGCCACCAGGGAGGCCCTAACTTTTGACAATTTAATTGCAGTGTTTGTCTTCGGGTGGGCCTCTTTACGTTTATTTACCTCTCTGGGCTACTGGCTCTGAATGTATATTTTCTCCAGGTTAGCAACGTTTTTTCTTTTTATTTGTTAAAAACTTTCTCCTTTTGGGATTCCTATCCCACCAGGGTTGATCTGCTTGATGTTGTCTCCTCAGTCTCTGAAGCTATTTTCACTTTTGTTGTTCCTGCTTTAATTGGGTGCGTTCCACTGTCCCGTGTTCACATTCACTGACACTTTCTTTCATTTCAACTAACCGGCTTTCAAATTCCTCTGTTGTATTTTCCAGTTCATTATATTCATCTGCTCTGTGATTTCTATTTGGCGTCTTAACCCCTTGCACCACCAGGGAGGCCCCTAGACTAATTCTAAATGTTTTCCTATTACAAACAGTAATTCATATCCTTGTATATAAATTTTTATCCTTCTATGGGATTATTTCCTTACGCTTAATTTCTAGAAATTGGATTGATAGGTGAAAATCTGCTCATTTTTCATTTGGCTACAACGTGCTAAAATTTTGGGATGATTGTACCGGTGTGTGTGAGTTGTTGCTTCACCTATTTGCCAACTGTTTAATATTTTTCATCTTTGCCAATCTGGCAATGAATAATAGTGCTTTTTCTTTATTGTAATTAGTACTTCTTTGACTAGGATTGAAGTGAAATGGTCTTTTGATATTTAAATTGGGTATTTGGTTTCTTTGCTGGCCATTCAGGTTCTCCCTTGCTATTTCCTCAGCTTGGTTAGTCCTTCAGGTTATAGCTTTATTCTTTATTTTCTCCTTTCTCTGTTTTCTTGTTCTTCTGTGGACTTTCTTTTTGGTTAGGGGCTAGAGGCGGGGGTGGGGAGGAGAAATTGTACACTTTTTGTTAAAATATAAAAAATAGACCTCCCTGGTGATGCAGGGGTTAAAGTCTCAGCACTATCAAGCTATCGCCAGTCACTGCAGCATGAGTTCGATCCCCGGCCAGGAGCTACCCATATGGTGCTGCAGACCTCTCCTGACTCTCCCGCTGCTCCCCTCAGCAGTGTCTATTGGTCAATCTGCCTGTT